AACATACTGGTCCACCAACTGAACAATGAACGAGTAAGCATAGGGTGCGGCCTCCTCATCATAAGTGATCGGCAGCGTCTCGATCCAGTTGTTCACAACATCCTGAGCATTAGGCACCTTGGAGGCATTAAAGTGAAGGATCTTGGCGATACTGGCCGAGGCGTTCTCGGTCGCGAAGACGTGCTCCTCGGTGCGGTTTTGCGGGTGTTGAGTGGCCTGGAACAGGCTGGGGATGCTGGCAGCAACAAAGTCGGCCCAAGGAGCGCCACCCTTTTGGGCGGCAACACCGACACCGTAAGCGGCGGCCTGACGGTTAGCAGCGTTTTCATCCAGCAGGCCGGAAGCCAGCGGCTGCATGATGTGGTCCTTGAAGGACCAAGACTCGGCAGAGCAGAACTCCAGTACATCATCCATGATGCACAGGGCCCACTGCCGCTGGGTCGGGTCCTGGCTGGTGATGAAGTTGTCGTAGAACTGCATCAGCTGTTGCCAGGCGGGCAGGAAAGTGGTACCTTGGTTTTTGAAGATAGTGTGGAAGGCCTTGTTCATGTCGCTGAGCAGGTTCTGGTCATCCTCAATGGCATACTCGTAGTCGAGGTTCTCCTCATCACCCTCCTCAAGCTCGGCCTGCTCCTCCAGGCGCTGCTTGACGCGCATCTGGTAGTCTTCAAGCGTAGACTTGGCAGAGTCGATGAAAGCCTGCATGTGCTGCGGGGACAGGCTGTTGGGGCCAACGACCTCGACGGACTCGTAGAAGCACTGGTACATCTCCGCCAATGTATCAACGGTAGGCTCGGCACTGAGCACTTCGATAATCTTCTCAGCCACCTTGTTCCACATCTCAGCAAAGCCGGGGGAGTTGCCGCCGTGGGCCTTCTTGTAAGAGTTGAGCAGCTGGGGCACCAGCTTGGCGGCCGACACACGGACGGGGTCATGGAAGAAGAATGCGAGACCGGGAACGGCAATCTTCTCCATGGTCTCCAGAACATAAGGCTCGAAGGCCTCCTCCAGAATTTGAGCGTAGATGGTGATCAACTCGATGGCAGTGTTCTTGTCCTCCAGAGCACTGGTCTTGATACCAATGACCTTGCCCTTGAGCGGAACCAATTCCCACCCTTCATCCTGCTCAACCTGTTCAATTTGGTCCTCGTCATCCAGCAGCTGGATGTCGGCCTTAGCGGCGGCCACGGTCAGCAGAGGAGGCATAACACCGGGCAGGTAGGGAACGAAGTCACGGCCCAAGACACGGCACATGCGGCCCCAGCAGTGGAGAAGGTATTGTGATTGAGGGTCGTCAGCATCGACGATGTTCTGCTGAATGTGGCCCAGGATCTGAACGAGGTTCAGCGCATCCTGGCCCATTTTCTCCTTTCCAACGGCCAAAGCGATCAGAGTAGCACACTCCATGGCCTTGGCACGGAGCAGGCGGTATTCCTTGCCCTGTTCCTCCTTAAGGACGTTGAGCAATAGGGGCATGAGGGTGTCGTAGTATTGACCGAAAGCAGTCTCGGCAGAATCGGCAATAGTAGCAATAGTCGACAAAGCCTGTTCCTGGAGGTAACGCTTGGGGCTGCGCAGGAGCTCCAAGAGGCGGCTCAAAAGGTCACCAAGGTAGGGCTCGAGGATGCTGCGCTCAGCCTCCTCACAGAAGTTGACCAACGCGGCAGCGGCATGAGACTGTACGCGGGGCTCGGCGGAGCTGAGGACGGGGATGATGTTGTTCAGAACAATGCCGTGGTACTTCTCCTGCATAATACCGGCAAAGTCGGTACTCATTTGGCCGAGGGCGTTGCAGCCTGCATAGCGGACACGAGGGTGAGAATCACGCAGAGCGGGGACAACCAGAGCAAGGACCTGGTCAAGCTCATTGATCATCAGGTCGCGGCAACCCTCTGAGATGGCAGAGATGGCCATCAGAGCGGCGTGGCGGTCGCGCCAGGCAGTCGAAGACATCATGCGAGGAATCCAGGAGAAAGCAGGCTGGAGAATAGCTTGACCACCGAGCTTGTTGGCCAGACGGTCCATGCACTGCTCACCGGCAATGTGGTTGAGGTCGCTCTCCTCGGGCTCAAGCTATAGAACCGTTAGCAAAGATTGATAGTTGTCAATGATTCCATCAAAAAAAAGACTCACATCTTCGGAAGCGTTCCACTCCTCGGCATCATCGTCATCCACACCCACATCGGTCATCAGACTCAGACATTGGGTGACCATCTCCTGGGCAAAGTTGGCTTCCTTGATGCACATTTTGGGAGCGTAGTCGGCGAAGGTTGCCATCAGCTCCAGCGCATTCTGGCGGACCTGGTCGCTAAGCTCCTTGTCGGCAATGACGCTGATGCTGAACTTTACCAAGTCACTGAAAGAGCCCTTGAACATTCTCGGGCTGATCTCAGCCAGCTCGATGAGAGCCAAGAATGCTGACGAAAGCTCTTCACTCTCGCTGGATTCCTTGAGAGGAGGAAGGATATTGAGAAGAGCGGGCATAAGGGAGAAGAATTTGGTCTGGGACTTTTTGTCGATAGAGCGGAACATAGAGGCGAAGGCTTCCATGGCGGCAATGCGCACCTACGGAGGGAGGCTCTGGTTAGATGACGCTTCATGGGTGGATCAGGCGAGGGTCAAGCATACCGAGATATTGTCATCCTCGAATCCCTTGGTAAAGACAGCGAGAACAGCATCTTCGTGCTGCTTCTCAATAATGCCGGGGGTGGTTGTGAAAATACGGAAGGCAGTCTCGCGAAGACCGGAGTCGCCAGACTGGCTGGCCTGGAAGAGAACACCAAGCAGCTCGGGCCATTGGTCGCCTATATATCCCCAAAGATATCAAATCGTTAGAACTGCACAGATCTTTCGTACGGGTCTCAAAGGCGATTGGGGTTTTTCCCCCCTTGTGTTGGAATTGCGTACCATTGTCGGTGTACTGGCGAGCAACCTCGGCCACAGCGTCTCCAATCTTCTTGCGCACATCAGTGACAGACTCGGAGGTCAGGCATATCACTAGCTTCTCGCGGATCGCAACACGCTGCTCGTTGGGCAGACTCAAGAAGATCTCCTTGACGTCGCCGGAGATAGGATCCTTGCGGGTCTTGGTGGAAATTCTTCGGAAAAGGACAGCGGAGAAAGCTCGAGTCTGATGGTAGATAGGTTCCGAGTCAGCGCATGCTCTATTGCATAACTGTTGAAAATATCTGGTCGCGAGGGGTTCGGTCGTTCGCATCGAGCATTCACCCACACAGAGGGCGGCTCGTGGCTCACGGTTTCCCCTCCCCCTCCCTAGGTAGAGTCGAGTCGGTATCGGCACTCACTAATGTGTCTTCGGCACCGGCAATCTGCTCAGCCAGACCCATCAACAGGATATCCGGCTTGTTCTGGACCCAGTCATTGTTCAGCTGCTCTTCGGCCTGAGATCGAACAGCATTGTCGGGGGTGCTGAGAGCGCGCAGCAGCTGGGACAGCGCGGTGTGGACCTCTTGGGGCAGCACGGACATGGTGGGTTTGTCTGTTCCCAAGATCCAACAGACAAAAGAGACCCAATTTGTTGGTACCCTCGAGGTGGGATAGTTGGCGGGGAGGGGCTGGAAGAGGGGTGGTTTGAAGGGGGGGGGAATGAGTTTTGTTTTTGGTGGGGCGGGAAGGAAGGGAAAAAAAGATTGATGATTACGGTGACGGGGCAATCGATATGCGATAGGCGCTGAGAACCGGTGGATCACCTCGAAAGTAGTAATGACCAGGGAGAGTCAGGAATTGGATCACGAGAGACAAGAGAGGATATGACAAGTCTTAGAGATAATGAGGATGCTCTCAATTCAAAATGACTAGTACTACGAGAGACAGGGCTACTAGAGACTCCTACTGATGCCCGGGTACAGTTAAGTACAGTACTACTAAAGTTCGGGGTAGGTTGGAGGTCCTCAGGTGCCTAACGGCCTCGGTGGGGATCAACTCGAACACGCCTAGTTCGATCTCCCTCAATGGGGTCTTTTTGAGAGAATGAATACCCTAGTATGATCATTTGGGGACCACTATGAAGGCATCACATAACCAGATATATGTACGTAACGCGAGGTTCATTCGGCTTTCTACATTAGTGTAACATCCTGTAAGAACAAAGTTATTTGCATTGAAGGCTAAACTACTTGGCCGCAACTGATCATGACTAGAACAGCGGTATCTGGACGCGACACGGAATATCGATAATTAGAAAGGGGGGTATGCACTCTCGCCAAACGAACACATCAAGAGTAGCCAAAATGAACAAAAGGTGGGGAGAAGTTGGTCGAGACTATTTGGAGTGGTTCCCCGGGGAGATATATGAGACCGAAGAACAAGGGAGTGATGTCTAGAAACGAATAACAAATGCAAATGGTTTTCAACGGCCGCTGGGACGGCTGAGGATGAACACACCCGCGATCACCGCGGCCAGAGTAACGATGGCTCCGGGAAGAAGAAGCTCGTTGGGAACACCAGTGATGAACTGCTCCTCCGGGCCGTGGTGTGCAGGGAAGGCCTGTCGGGGCTTGCTCAACAAAGGCTCCTCCGAGGGGGTCTCTGTAATCACACTCTTGGGCTCCTCAATGACGGGGGTCGCAGGCTTAGCGGGCTGGGGGTCGAGAGTGGCAGGGATGGGAGGCTGAGCCGGGTCATGAACGAAGAGATCAACCTTGTCGCGATGGGCACGGCGGGCAAGATCAATGGCATCCAGCATGTCCTGGTCGGTGGTAATCGAAACAGTATCGCCCTCATTATCCATGTAGCTCAGAGCATAACCGGTGTTGCTGAGTCGGCCCTCCTCCACTACGGCCTCGCCGCCCACGGCCTCAACCTCAGAGCCAAGTTTGGCAGTCACCTGGGAGACCAGATCGGAAACGCCAGAGGAGCTCAGCACGTTCACACGGTGCACCCGACCACCAGGAGCCTTGAACTTGAAGGGGAATGGAGCGTTCTCGGTATGGTGGTGCTGGTGGTGCTGAGACGCCACTTCGGAGTGCTCTTCACCGCCGTGGTGCGAAGCAGACTCGTTCGGCAGGACGCTGTTATCGTACTGTGACCGAGCAAGGTCGGGGCTCATGACGGAGCGGTGTGGCGTGTGAGGCGCCGGCTGACTGCCAGAGACCATCGAGTCGGACTCGTGATCCATTGACAGCCAGAACTTGTTCCAGGCTGGACCCTCGTCGTCCTGAGTCGACATGGTATTGATCTGTATTCAACAATGAGCTTCGCGCCCACAAAGATGTCTCTTGCATTTGACCAGGGAGGCTTACCTGTTCAAGGGTGGCATAGGTGAGCTTCAACACATCAACCATGCCAACAATCTCACCGCCCTCGTTCATGACGGGGAGGTTAAGGTAGTGGCCATCTGTTCCAATAGTCAGTAAAATCAAGCCACTGGGCCATGTTTCATCCATCTCAAGAACTAACCGTGCATCTTGCGAAGGGCGGCCTGGATGCTCATATCAGAGGGAGCAAAATCAGGGTGGGGAGTCATGACGCGAACCACACTGCAGGTGGCAGGGTCAAGACCGGGGGCGATGACACGGAGAACGATATCCTTGCTGGTGAAGATACCAGTAATGGAGCCCTGGTCCTGCACAAGTAAGGCAGTGGTGTGGTTCTCCTTCATCAATGCCGCGGCATCCTTGACCGTGGTTCGGACGGAAACGGTGACTGGGGGCATACCATCCAGGACAGTTTCGAGAGTAGGGCCGGACATCTTCGATCGCAGAGCCTCGACGTACTGAATCACCTGCTGGGGCTGGCTGGAGCCCAACTCGGTCTGAACACCCTCCAGCGCATCGTACAGCTTGCGCGATGAGCTATAGGCACGCTCCAGCTTCTCCATCGCATCGTAGAAGCACTTGGTGATATCCAGAATACCCGAAATATCCTGATTCTCGTCCATGACGGGCAGATGTCTGAAGCCCTTCCGGACCATCAGGTCAAGCGCATCGGTAGCGCTAGTGTCCGTCCGCGCACATAGGGGGTTCTTGGTCATAATCTCGGCGACGGTCACCTCTCGCGCCTTGTGGCCAGCGCCAACCACACGGAAAGCCAAATCCTTCGCGGTGAAAATACCAGCAATTCGCTCATCGTCATCAGTAACCAACACACAATCTTCCCGCTTCGCGGCCATCAGCTGTGCGGCTTCGGCAATGCTCAGGGTCGGCTTGATCTGGAGAGCCTGGCTGGGCTTCAAGGCGAGCACGGTGCCCGGCGGGGCTTTGCGGGTATTTCTTGCCTTAGTTGGGTTGTGCCTCTTCTTGTTGAGGTCGGCCTCCATCTTACGACGAATCGCCTGTGATAACAAAAATCGAGGGGTGGTTAGCAGGTAAGCCGAGTGGGAATTAGCAGATCATCCGCAAAGATCATCCTCAGAGCTATGCAGCTTCCGCAAGTATACACACCTCATCACGCTTCGACTGGTTCTGTCTCTGTCTGCTACTGGCGGCGCTCATGGTGCCACTTCCGACGTCGCTGGAGGGAGTGTGGGTAGTGGAGGCGACGGAGGGTTCTGGACGGTCTGAGCGAGGTCGGGGGATGTGGGAAGCACTTGAGCTCTCAAATTCCGGGGGCAGCCTTCCTCTCCCGATGGTCTTATTGGGTGTTCCCCTAAAAGTACCTGTATGCGACATACTCAAGCCAGGGAGGGGGAGAAACACAACAAAGACGGAGACGAAGGGGATGAGGAGAGTGGAGCAAACACGAAAGAATGAGAAACCTGTCTGAGAAACTGACAAAAGGAAAACAGCAAGGGAGTCTCTTCCAGTTCGAGAGAGGGAAATGGGCAGTCAATGGTCGATCTGAACAGGGGTGTTTGGGCTGTTTGGGCTGTTTGGCGCTGTTTTCACGCTAAGTCCAACTATCGCCCGCTTGGGGCGGGTGTAAACACGGGGCTTATGTAATTGGCTAGGATGAGCGGTAAGATCCGGGCGCTAGTCCACTTTGGGCTGGAGTGCTGCTGTCGACCTAGCCACGTGATGATCAGATCGTTCAACGATTCCGATGACCGCCTTTTTGCCTTACGGCCTCACTAATCAGGCCAGAAAGAATATGTCAGGCATTCAGGTGTCCATCACTCGTGACTGGGTCTCGCTTAAGGGCTTAGGGCTTCCCACAACACAACCACCCATCCATTCCGGCAGAGCGTCTGTGTGAGCGAGCTTCGACAACCCACTCCCGACAAGACACCCGTACGTTACCCTCCCCCTCTTTTCTCCTTTCCAAACCAGATCGACTCTCTGACTTTCCACAGAGCAATCCGTCAAAATGGTCAAGAAGCGGGCGAACAAGTAAGACTTGATCCCTCCTCCATCTATCCGCGAATCCAGTCTCCCATTCGATATGAATCTCCGCAATGACGCCCGACGAAATCGATGCCACGCCACATGAACCCTCGAGAATTAAAATGAGAAATACGAATACCATTCTTGCAAGAATCACATCTACGCGCATTGACGGATGAATTCAACGCCGAATGGAGACTGGATTATCGTGAAATTCATACCTGCAAGGGAACAAGGGAACTAATAGAATTTCTTCAGCGGTCGTAACAAGAATGGCCGCGGCCACGTCAAGCCCGTGCGCTGCTCCAACTGCGCTCGCTGCACCCCCAAGGACAAGGCCATCAAGCGCTTCACCATCCGCAACATGGTCGAGTCTGCTGCCATCCGTACGTGACCCTTTCGACATTACATCATTCCATTCGCATAATGCACATCAAGAAGGGGGATCCTGGATCGACTCGATTTAGACAAGGACCTTTCAAGGTCTCTCGTCAAAATGAACGAACTGGACTCGCCTGCGCGTCACGAACTGCTCGAGGAACAATGGACTAATTTACCTTTTTTTCGACGTACAGGTGATATCTCCGATGCCTCCGTCTTCGCCGAGTACTCTGTCCCCAAGATGTACCTGAAGCTCCAGTACTGCGTTTCCTGCGCTATCCACGGCAAGATCGTTCGGTATGCACGCCCTTCACTCAACCTCTGCGCCTCGTCCATCATCCAGTCCATACTGACTCCAACTTCTCTACAGTGTCCGTTCCCGTGTTGGCCGCCGCAACCGTGCTCCTCCCCCACGGATTCGCTACAACAAGGATGGCAAGAAGCTGAACCCCCCTCAGGCCGCCAAGGCTATGTAAAGGAGAGGAAACGCCATTCAATCCAGCAAAATAAAAATGGAACTAGTCTGAAATGAATCTTTTTATTTTGTTTTCCTTTCCCGCTGTGGTGCTCTTGAACGACGGATATCTGTGGCATTCCAGCTCGACAGGCTAACTGCTGCAACGAAAATGGAGGATACGGCACTAGGGTGTTCGACAAAAAGATGCTCGATTCTGTGGATAGGGGTGCGCAATCATGAAGGGCGATGAGGATCTCTTCTCGTCTTTCAACGTGCTTTCTCTTCGCGTTTCGCAGTGTCTTGTGCCCCTTCGATGTATGAGAGCCAAATTACGATGGCATGTGCATGACTGGAGGCAAGGATCAGTCTGCTTCGTTGCAGACTAGAAAAATACCAAAAATTCTCTTAAAAAAATCACTTGCGCTTCCCCAGTAGAGTTATCGTTTCTTTGGGCTTGAAACTAAATGGCGTCGTAGTGGATGCCATATGCTATATGCTAGGTACTCTCTCTCATGGATAAAGATAGCCCTTCTCAAAGTAATTCCCATACATGTCCACCATACCGCTGCGCATCTTCGACGTCGGGTTCCTCACAATCTTGATCTCCCCCTTCCAATGTCCTTCCACGAAATGCGCCATTGAGACCTGCGCTGTCGTTGCAGTGAGCAAGGTCGAGCTCCCGGTGCCATGGGTACTACGTCGCCCTCTCTCTCGACGCACGACCTGCTCATACTCAGCCTTCTTAGCACGACGGAAGGCAGCGAGTTCTGCCACGAGATCAATTTCCTTTGCGAGCGTCGGCTGCGATACTTTCTCAATTGGTCGAGGTGGGCTAGGCGTACCATGTACCGCAGATGGAACACTTCTCTGTGAGATACGGCGGTTCGGCATCGGCGATTCAGCACCAGAGTGTGAATGTAGAGAGGCATCATCGTCTGAAGGCATGAGGGAAACCTTCTCGTTCAGCACCGCCATTGGGAAGTATTTGCCGGGATCATTCTCGGGGATACCGCACTCCATTTCTTCGAAGAAGCTAAAATCATCTGCAGCTGCGGCCCAAAGAGCCTCCGAGTCACGGTCACCTGTACTCGAGTTCTGGACTCCCGGTTTCCATGTAGTCAATCGGGTTGAGCTATCGGTAGGCGTAACTTCAAGGACTATTCGGCGGAGACCGAAGAGTGTTCGAGAACGCTGTTGTTCAGCTTGTATACGTGCCTGGCCGGGTGGCAGGGAATAATCAGACCCGGCTTGGAGGGTTGCGAGTAGAGTTTCATTGGAACAAGCGGTAATGAATCGGGTCAGAGTATACAAGATCGGAGAATTGGGCGATATATGCGAGGGCACATCCGTTAATACCAAGGTCTCTAGATGTGGAACATGCGACGGGTGTAGATACGGAAATCGGCTTTCTTTCCCATTTCGAAGAGGGAGAGATTGATTTCGTGGGCGTTTCGCGAGCAGCTCCTGGATTCTTTGGGCTCGTGGGTCGTCCATTGATATTGGGGAGCTGCATCGTGGTATGAATGCCAAGGATCCGTCCTCCTGAACTGAAAGTGCGGAAATTGATTGTAAAGTACCTTCATCGTTCGGTTGGTACTGGTTTGAAGGAGGGGGGCTCCTCAAGGCAGTGTAGTCGCTATCGCTACCTGGATCAAGTACAACTTCTGGTGCAAATGCAGATCCACGTCTGACTGCGGGCAATTGTTCATCCTCGTATGGGTTCAACAACCGCGCAACTGGAGTCGTGACGGTCGAATCTTTAGACTCCGATACTGACGTATCTGCAAGTTCAAAAACCGGTATCATCTCTCCTGGTAGCTCATGGACCTCCTGTGATGCATCCAGCTCGACTTCGTGTCGTACCTCACTGCTGGTGGCAAGCTCGGGAAGGTATTCGCCCTTGGGTACCGAGTCTTTCGCGGGGGGCTCCGCAGTGACAACGGCGTGGTGAGCCCGAAAGTAAGTAAGCCTATCCCCGGCGATATTGCCCAGTATAGGTACTAACTTCTCGGATCCAGGGTAAGCCCCATGTTTGGAAGCCGTTCTATGAACAGCGTCTGCGGTGTTCACGGTACCGACATCAAGAGCATTGAGGCGGGATGAAGCCAAGAGGCTCGCCACACCTTCTACTGTGATTGGATTGTTGGCGATGTAGAGGTGAGTAATTCCCGTGTATGGCAGGTCTTCTATCCAGGAATTATTCGACCCAGGCTGTGCGAGAAACTTCAAATATTGCTCATCCAGGTCGGGAGATTTGAGGAATTCTGATTGGCGATTTTGGGAATTTGCTGGAGGAGCTCGGTCTGGTGAATTACCATTTCGCCTCGGACTTGGTTGATGTCCTCGGTCTGGTGGGGTGAAAGATGCTTGCAGTAAGGAACGCACTGCCATATCGGTGAGCATGTTGTTTCGCACGTCCAGAAATCGAGTTCTAGTTCCAATCGCATTGGCCAGGAACTCAGCATCGGCGTCCTTCAATCCAATACCACGCAGTTTCAGTACTTGAAGGTTTTCAAGCTGAGACAGCGAGGATAGGACGCTTTGATCTCGCGCTGACCTAGTATACGAGAGATCCAGGTAGGTCAGCCGGGGAAACCGAAGTATAGTCTCCGCCAGACCAGCCGAAGTCGTGTTGGGCTCGTGATCCGCTAACAACAGGCGGACATTGTATTCACTGGATCTTGGATGATTTTTCAGGGCAACCATCGCATTGTGGTCAAAGAAGGGTAGCCTCGAGACCATCAAGCATTGCAGACATGGCAAATACTCGAGAATATCTCTCAGCCAGCCCGGTCGGGGGCCGCCGTAGATCTCTGATAATGCCGGGGGTAAATGAAGCGTATGTGTTAGTGCCCGTACTTCTCTCCTCGCATATTTCAGAGTTCTTCTGAACCGTGTCAGAGCCACTGGTATCTTCGGTCAGCATCAGATCAGGCCCCCGGTGGCATAGGATATCATTCGGTCCTACCATAAACCGCGTCATTTTCTGTCCCGAAATGCGACGCCGGGTCACCCCAGAGGTAAGGCATAAACAAATCGTGCCATCGATGGCAGACCAGCGAGGCAGCGCATAGGTCGCTAGAAGGGATATAATGGGCGATAATGGCCCATGCATCTCGGTCCGTTGCGGACTTGTATGATGGCGGGATCAAGTCCATCATCCTGTAGAGCTGAATGTATAGGGCTCAACCATGAGGGATGCTGACTTGGGTTTTCTTTGGAGCTAGCTGTTTTTCTGTGGGTGGGTTTGACGTTGTTGGATGGAGTTGGTAGTGTGAGATGTTTGACACAGCCACGTTGTACTGGACACCTTGGTAAGGCTGTACATCAACTAAACTACGCCCCGTTTTATAAGTGTCCTTGGTTCTTGGCTCGTGTCAGTGTGTACCGCTTCCTTAGATTAGTCTTGAAATATTGCCACATGTAAACCATCTGTTTGTCCTCAACTATATGCACTCGATCATATTGACTATACTCGAGGCAACGGTCGGTCGTACAGTTATTCGATTTCTATAATGTTGCCCGAATGTTGTTGGGGGTGGGGTCAACTTAGGGGCATATGATGTCATCGAGAGTACCCCTCAGGTTCAATTTGATACTTTACGATGTTTTTGTTTATTTAGAACTTGTAATCAAAGAATATCGACTACTACCTAGTAATGGCTTGATAGCTGGAATGGATTTTAGCCATCATTATGAGTTATGACAATATACCTACAGCATCGAAATTCTAGAATCGATGCTGGAATATATCCCGGAAGAAATCATACATGGCAGCATCAGCCTACTAAAGTCTACACAACACGGCCAAAACCCCCCAATCAAAATCCCAAGCTTCCACAGGTCACATACATATCACAAATTGGCACTGAATGACGAGAGCACAGAAAAAGTACTTGTTCTTGACAATCCAAATGAATCTGCCAACCATCTCAAACCATTGAGTGATAGGCAACCACTGGTTTCTATATCCTAACACAATCCAGAACTAAGCAACAGAGACAAAAAGACTCAAAGACCAACATGAAAAGAGCACAAAAAAACGAAAAATGAAACAGCCTCTCAACCAACCTTGCTCGATACCCAATTCAGAGGACGGACAAACACCATGTGACATATCCACTCAAACCAACATTTCGAGAATTTTGGCTCGACCCGACCCTTAAACTGGCTCAAGAATCATGTTTTCTGGCCACCTTTCATCCAATCGCCTTCGTGGTCTAGTTGGTTATGACGTCGGTCTCATATGGATCTTATGACGACCCTGCCTCAACAGGGTGGTAATCCGAAGGTCTCCAGTTCGAACCTGGACGAGGGCAAATGGATAATATTTTTGCATTTTCCACCTCGATGGTGTGTGTGGCTTGAAGTGTAAATTTTTTTATAGTTGGAGAGGGAAAGGGAAAAGGGATTAATCGAGTAGCTATGACCATGGTCTTCTGATTTTTGGAATTGAAGTGGGAGTTATTTGTGAAGTATGTTGAGGAAATGGTACTTAGGACGTGTGCTACTACGGTGGGAGAATTCGGTGGACCTTGGCTGTACGCCCGGATGTCCAGAGGCACGAGAAGAAAATTCCGCCTAGCCCGTCACGGTATAATAAGACAGATCTTAAAATATCCAGAGTAAATTTAAACACTTTATTTGCACCCACGAGAAATTCTAGTACCGAGGGCAGATACAAGATAGGACTGTGATAGGGACTCCTTAGCGAGTACTTCATGGGGATAGCATGACTCTCATTGTAACGGCCAACCGTCAAGCAAGGATGAGGATTCCACCAACCAATGTCGAACTTCGGAGCTTTGATACAGTATACAAGGTATTTGTATTAGACGAAACATACGACAAAGAAAAGCTTGTATGTACATAATGACAATGTCTATATTACCGCTGACCAGCAGCTTAAGAAAAACACAATGAATGCCCCAACACCGCATCATGCAACCAAGGAAGGGAAAGGAGGAAGGAAAAATACAATGACCCAATACAAGCCCGGTCAAGCACATGCTTAACCCAGACGCAGTCGGCCAGGGACGGCCCGGCCGCCAAACAGCCGTGTCACACCACCTTCCTCGGTGGTGGTGGTATGATTGTCACCCGACATCCAGCGAGGCAAGCGGAAAGGTTCACCCTGAAGCCATTGCGGCTTGTTGGTGGTTTCGAAGGTGTTACGCACGCGGTGTGCGAAGGATTGAAAGAAATTCTCCTCCTCTTCTTCCTCGCCATCGACCACGGTAGGCGCGGTGACGGGGCGTTGGGTTGGCCGAGGGGACCGAGAGCCTTCACTAGTGGCGACGCGCAGACGTGAGGAGCCGAGTGATTCATCGTCGCTGCGGTCCGAAGCCCAGGTTGAGCGGCCGCCACGTGAGGAAACGGCCAGGGAGCCGAAACCGTTGAGCTCGCGCTCGATGAGATCGCGGCCCTCGCGCCAGCCGCCCATGCCATAACCGGCCGGGTTGTTCTCGACGTCGTGTACGTCGTCGTCCTCTGCGAGTCCGAAGCCACAGATGTTCTTCACCCGGCCGTACAGATTAAACAGGGTAGCGCAGATGGGGAGGAGAATGAAGATGGGGAAAATATAGTCAAATCCCTTGCCGAGGTGCGTTAGGTTGATGAGACGACCTAGGAACTCGTAGAATGTGGTGGTGCGACGGAAGTCCTTGGGCAGGAAAGTCAAGAAGTTATAGGCGATGGGGACGGTAAGACGAGCCACGAGACTGGCATACCAGCATGCGCTCTCACCATACGTGTTGCGGCGCACCAAGGCCCTGTTGCCCCAAACCTTGACGTTGCTGACACCGACCAGGGCGGCAGAGCACATGTACAATAACCAAAGGGAGGCAATGACCTGGCTCCCAAAACCAAGAGGCTTCTCGTCCTTCCAGTTGGGAACGACGGTCAAAGTAATGGCAGAGAATTGTGGGGCCAAGGACTTGATTAATTCTGACCAGACAATGCACACCGAGGCAAACGCGAAGACCGCGCCGAAGATCAAGCGCAGCGTCGGGATGATATTAGAATATAGTTGGTAGCGCAGGTAGGGGTTCAAAAACTTGACTTTCGGTAGCCAAGATGACCGGCGGGGGCCAGTACCAAACTCGAGCTTCTTTGACGCTGTTGAATTGATGATGGCTTGGAGGTCAGCAGCCAGCGTCACCACGCGATCCCATTCATCCACGAACCGCGCCTTCATATGGCGGGCACGCTGCAAGCGTCTCGTCAGGTCGGCCAGATAGCGCTCCGTAATGACCGAGGGAACGGAGCCAGATGTCTCGGGGCTCTCAAGAATAGGGACTCGCACGTCACCGGAACCAGAGCCGGAGGCTTCGGACAGGTCTTCGATCCATTCCTGAAAGTCGCGCGCAGTTCCGGTCTTGCGCTGCTGGAGTTGAGCAACTTGCGAGTTGAGGCTTTCTAGTTCGTTGACGGCATCCATCAAGCGGTCATGCACTTTGGGAGCATGCGCCTGGATGCGCTTGAGGCGACCGCTTACGTTCGCATTGCGGAATAAATTGCGTGGAATTGATACCAAGCCGTGGCCCATCAAATAAATGGCGAGAACAAGACCCCAGACGTAGGCCAAGGCCATGACGGTACCCTTGATTGAGGTGGGATCAAACCCGATGGAGATGGAAATATAGATGAGTCCGACTAGAGCGCAGGAGAGCACGATCAACTGGTATCGAGCATTGGAACGGAGCGAATAGAGGATTCGTGCCTTGGGTTCGCGGTATCCGGAGTCAACATAGTCGCCGAGCAGAGGAAGGATGGCCCTGAAGACGACGCGGAAGGCGTTAGCAAGCCGAGCGCCAATTGCGACCGGGGAAAACGGGGGATCGGAATGTACATACCAGGTCAGCATGAAGATAAGCCAGTAGGCGATTCGCCAGCACACGAGGACGACCCGGTCGGGTAACCAGATTGCCTTGGGACCGGTGCCATTGCGCGCGCTGGATGCGAGATCGATCGGGACGAGGAGCACGACGCTCGCGGGGAGCGCTAGGGCAAGGAAAATAGGCACCAGCAAATAGGCTGGCGTTGCGCGGATAGTCAGGAAGCGACGCAAGAGCAGCAGCACTAGAGCCGAAATGGAGCAGAGGGCGAAGGCGAAGAAGATGTTTGAGCCCACGGAGACGGGCGACACGGAGATGGAGAACATGGCGGGCGGAGGGGAGGGAGAAACGAATGGGAAAGAGATTCTTTAGCCGTTGTTCATGACGAGAATCTTAGCTTGTCGAGAGAAGAAGACGATCGAAAGCGAAGTCGAGTCCTCCGTAGCGTAGAGGGAGAATGGATGTAGGTGGATGTAATTCAATGATGGAGATGGTAGATAGAAATAGAACGTTGACGTTTCCAGGGGAGTGTAGTGGCTGACTTAAGCTCGAGGGTACGCAATCAACGCGATCAACGCAATCTGGTTGGGGCGTCACAGCAGGTACCGGGTACTTTGTTCGACCCTTGGCGGGCCCTCAAACTCCGGTAGTCATTAGTTAAGGAGTGGGCTGACGACGTTGAGTGGCGGACTGCCTAGTGGGGGTACCCGGTACTTCCAAGGCTCAAAAGGTTGCTGGTCGACTGGCTGACTGGCTTAGTCACTTGGAACTGGCCAATTAGCGTGGCCCGGATCAGGCCAGGGCCAGAACGATGCCGATCTTTTGGGAGTTTCATTCTGGGGATCGTCGGTGGTTTGGCGATGATTTTTTTTAATCGTTGAACGACAAAACCTATAAAAAAGGGAAGCTCTAGATGAGTGCGTATTAAGTATTTTTCTCGAAGACCCGACTCGAGAAATATTTTGCTAATCGTGCAGAAAGTCCATACGAGAAAAAGATTGAAATACTGCAAGTCGCACCAAAAGCGGCGATCGTGAGCTTATGCTCTGCTCGGACTAGTCGTCGGGAACGGCGGTACGGTGGTAGAGGGTACTGGGTCATGGTCCCTTGCATAATGGAACATATCATGGTCCAGAGCATTACTTCTCTGAACTCGTGCAATAATGACTATGAGGTGATTGATTGCAGATATGTTCATGTACAGATCTCGCTCTTCTGTCATACGTTGCTCCGTAAATCTCCCCCGTACTTGGCTGTATACAGTACATACTGACTGGGCTAGTGTACGAAACGAGATCCACCACTATGACGACGGGCGTTGTTTGGGCTGCAAGATTCTAATCTGCGGGAACCAGAGACTGACTATGCCACACGGGATAGGATTGTAAAATTCTGGAATTGTCGAATGGAAGCATGTTTTTCTTTTCGAACGCAGCGATTGTAAATCCTCGAGGTCCCACGAGTACCTGAAAATTGCGCACCGTCCAATGTCCAACGCAGCAGCCATGCGTGTAGACTTTTTGGTCATACTTCGACCATACGCGCCCCTGTCATTGTACATTACATAAGTGGGAACCGTTGGGCAGGATCAAACAGTCGGGATAAGAAATTGGGAGAGGGCAAAAGAGAGAGGCTCATAGAGTCTCATAGATTCAAGCGAGAGAGGGAAAAATAAAAAGTAGTGGACCAATACAAAAAGAAGTATTACCACGATGGCCCCAGGGTTCGAAAATCGACGAGGGCAGGGTTGTGTTTCAAGAGTGCACGGATCTTCCGACGGGGGCAGATCATGTCGGGATGGGAAAGGAGTGGCGGAGAGCTAGAAGTTATCAGCGAAACATATCGACAACGAAGTACTTTTTGTGCGTACGATACAAAGTATACAATAAGTACCCAGTGTGCTTGAGCCTGGTAGAAAAAGGAAGCGAGAGCCAATTCAAGGGAAACGACGAGAGGACGATACACCGCTCAAGCGAGCTGATCCCAGTAACGAGATCTTGGTGGGCCCGAGGCGGATAGTCGTATTATGTTGTCTTTCGTCAGAGAGAGAGAGAGAGAGAGAGAGAAAGAGGAGGGAGGGGGAAACACCCTGACACCTAGTAGAGCCCAGATAGGGCAGACGGGCGATCATTTCGTCCAGGCTTAGTCTGACTTGGCATCTATAGAGTGTGATTCAGGAGGTTTCGCAATGAAGACTGCAGAATCGGTTCAATGTACCAATTCATCAGAAGCATACTCCGTAGAATTTGGCTGATAAGTCCGTTAAGAAAGCATTCGGTGGCCTGTCGAGTCCAGTGGATACATTCATCCTACACGAATACAACAAGTATACATTGTGGAAGGTCTGTAATGTACCGATACGGGGGCCACATGATCGAGAGTCGAGATGGACAGCCAAGTGCGACCTGAACTTGCTTCCATCCCCAGCACCAATCCTCATTTCTTCCCTTCTCTCTTCCCTGCACATTCACTGGCCTTTTTCTCCCCTCCCCAAGCCACACTTTCGTTTGCGACTTGCAGACCACCGGTGCCCGAAGCGCCTTGCCCCCCCTCGTCCTGCGTTGGCGGGTGTACAGATAATTGGTCGCTTGCGATTGCTCTCTTGCGCGCTGTCTGACTATTCCCTCTCTCCCTTCCTCTCGCGCTCTCTCTCCTTCTGCCTCTCTCTCGCTCTGCCCAACTTTTTCCCCCCTCCCCGTCTGTGTCCTCCGTTTGGACCATTCCCAACCCCATCCCCACCCGCCCTGATCGACTCGGACTCAGCACGGGTTCCACATCAGCAACCCGGCGTGCCTCTTTTTCCACCCACCGATCTGCAACTTGCCTCCGACCCTGCAACTTCATTTCCCAAACCCTCCTGTCAACACTTTCTCCCGACCGTCTTTTTTTCGACATTTCTCAACCCGTCTCGTCTTGCCTCTCCTCCTCTCCTCCTATTATTCCACCACGCGACCCCTGTGCTCCATTTTCTCCAACTCTTCTGTCGGGACTACGTTCTATTCCTCACGCTCTCCGAATCACACCGTCTGGCGAATGCTGACGACCATCACCTCCTTCCGCGGATCTAGTCCCCATTGATGGGGCTTCCGTCATGAATCCCGCCCAGTTTCCCAACCCCGGCGGGGGCATGCCGGGCTTGACGCAGCAACAACAACAACAGCAGCAGCAACAGCAGCAGCGCACTGATAACGGCCAGATACTTATGAACCACGTCGGACATGAGTTACAAATGCAGCCTCGACTTGGTGGATGGAGAGATGAAGTCCCTATCAGGGTTCGAGCTATGCATGTTTTCCAAATGTAAGTGTGCCATGGACAGCGCCCCCGGCTTTGACACCCCTCGGCGACTTTTTTCTGTCGCAGCGGCTGCTGATTCACGTCATTCACACTATCCATCTCTTCGCCCTTTTCTCCCCACGACTGACCCTTTTGCTCACATAGGATTACCTCCCTTCGATTAATTCAACCTCGAATCGACCTGAAGCAGGCAGGCACAGCTGCGATTGCTTTTGAAACTAATGCCTGGAAGAAGGCCAAAGATTTGGTTCGTTACCTTGCCTCACTTACCCCCATCGTTTCCCCTCCCCATGTAGTTTCTCTCCTCCTTCCATCCGAATACTTTTTCTTCTGAGCTTCCCTCTGCTTCGGGTGGAAACTGACTTCGGCGGTTCAACCTCAACAGACCGAATACGAGAAGACTTGCAACGAGAAACTCAACCACATCAAAGATACCCGCCAGAGACAAGCCGCTGTTGCGCTTCAAACCGGAATGATGCCCCAAGGTGGGCCCGCGATGCAGAACCAGCTTCAGGGTGGAATTCCCCCTCAGATGAACCCGAACATGCAAACCTCGCCCGTGGCTCCGGGTCAGCCTCCAATGATGGGCATGAATACTCCCAACCAACAGGCTGCTATGCAACAGCGCCAGCAACAACAGCAGCAGCAGCAGCAGCAACAACAACAACAACAACAACAGCAGCAGCAGCAGCAACAACAACAACAACAACAGCAGCAGCAGCAAGCAATGCTTCAGCAGCAACAGCAGCAGCAGCAGCAACAATTGCAGCAACAGCAACAGCAACAGCGGACCCAGCAACGCCCTGTCAATGGCGTTCCTCTCACCGATGACATCCATGCTCTTCAGAACCCCGACGCCGAACATGTGCAACGACTCGCGCAACAAATGATGTCCAAGACGTCTCCAGAGGACGTAGAAAAGATTAAGGCGAATCTTGCCAACATGAATCCGGAGCAGCGACAGTACTTGCAACGAAAGGGCATTGATCCGGTCAACTACTTCTTCCGTACCCAGGCTCTGGGCCATTTGCGACGATACCGTCGCTCTCGCATGGAGATGGGCCGTAATGGCAATCTTGCCAATCCCGAGGCTATGCTCACGAATGATCCGATGATGAGCCAACAAGCGATGTTCCAAAACATGATGAATTTGCAGCGCAGCAATTCGACTTTCTCCGGTAACCAAGCCCAGGGACAGGATCCGAACGCTTTCTTCGGCAACGTGGAGAACATCCAGGGCCAGCAAGCTGACGGTCTTCGCTCGCAGGAAGCCGGTCAGTTGGTAGTTCCCGCCAGTTCGTCGCAAATGAACCAGGCACCGTTCAACAACCAACAGAACTTGTTCCAACAGCAGGCCGGTCAGAACGGTCAAGGGAACGGGACTATGAACGGTCTGGGCATGAATAATCAGGCTTTCAACCAACAGCATATGCAGCAGAGTCTTCCCAACGGAGCCCAGCAGTTCCAGGCCCAACAGGCCCAGCAAGCTCAGGCCCAGGCTCAGGCTCGTGCTCATGCTGCCCAGAAAGCGCAGCTGGCTATGTCTGGCCAGGTTAACTCGCAAGCCCAAGTCCCGTTTCCCCAGCAGAGTCCGGTCATGCCGATGCTGAACCAGGGAATGCCTCCCGGTCAAATCTCCCCTGTCCCAATGTCTGCCCAGGTTCGACCTCCGTCTCGCCCGGCGAATATGGGCCAGCACCCAGGTGGCATGCAGGCCGGACAACCCACTATGCAAAATCGCCCTCCAATTCCCGCCGGTCTTCCCCAGGCGGTTCGAGATCAATTGGCCCAAATGAGTAATGAGCAGCTTCATAATTTCCTGCAGAATCAACGTCGTGTTCATGCCAGCAACATGGCTCGAGCCAACGTTCAGCAGCAACAGCAACAGCAGCTACAACAGCAACAGCAACAGCCACAGCCACAGCAGCAACAGCAGCCTCAGCAGTCGGTGCAGCAAGGTTCTCTGACACAGGATGGTCAAAATCCGGCCCTGTTCACTGGAGGACAAATGGTCAACAATCCTCGAATGAGAGCCTCCATGAGTATGCCACAAGGCATGAACCCGGCAGCTGGTCTCGTTCAAAACCCACAGCAGATGACTCCTCAGCAACGGGCCGTGCATTTGCACCGACAGAACGAGCTGGCCAGGCTGGTCGCCCTCCGCAAACAGAACAATGGCCACGAGATGACTGTTGAGCAGCAAAAGGAAATGGATCGTGTCTCTTTCCCAACGTCGCTGATTGCCAATAACCCCCAAGTCCCCCAAAACATTAAGACTTGGGCTCAGATCAAACATTGGGCGAGCACCAATCCCATCACTACGACTGGCGTAGAATTCAGTCGACTCTTGACTCTACAAAAGCTTCACTTTGCCCAGATCCTGGCTGCGAAGCTCGCCCAGCAGCAGAGCCAACAGAACCAGCAAAATCAAAATCAAATCCAGCAGGGTTTCCAAGGCCCTCAAAATGGGATGCAAGCTCCTCAGAGTCACCCAAATCCCGGGATGGCCATGGCAACACGACCAATCACTAATGATGATATCCAAACTGCTCGCCAGCGGCTGGGAACCAATTCGGCCAACTATGACGACGACCAGATTCGCGAGCTTCTTCGGAATAAGCAGAGGCAGATGCTCGAGCAAGCTGCACATCAACGGGCTCTTGCTTTGGGTCAAGCAGTGCCTCAACCTTCTGGCTCCGTACCTCCAACTCAGTCGCAGGCTCAATCACTCGGTGTTCCCCAGCAGCCTTTGCAAGTCCCTGGTGATCTGCAACCTCCTAATCAGAAACAACAACAGACGGCCCCTACCCCTAAGAGTGGTAAAGCCACAGCTGTCGTGAATCAGAGATCGAAGAAGCGACCAAATCCAGATGACGCGGTTGAGTTGTCGAGTATGAACATCACCCCTCAGCAAAGCCATGCTACTCCAACCACCGCTGTCCCTGCAGTTCAAAAACAAGGGATCAGTCAACCATTCTCACAGGAGGCCTTTAACGCCATGACTCCTGAACAGCGTCTGCAAATTGAACAAACAATGCGGCGCCATCAGCAGGGATACTTCCGTCCTCCGCATCCCAATAGGGCAACTGCTGAACATAATTGGAATACGAATCTCCCACCGAAACTTTTGGAGGCCTACGCCGAGATCTCCAAGGCTGCTCCACCTCCAAACATCGTGCCTATCTCCGCAGAACAGAAGTCGATTATGACCCAGCAGCTGCAAGAATCCATCGACATCCTGTCTCGAGTGGAGATCATCATTATGCAAGGATTCGCAAAGGCGAACAACCAAGAACGTAGTGTGAAAAACATACTCGCCATGCGGTTCCAGTTGATGCGTCAGTTCAAGAACACTCCGGAATGGATCCCCAATGATTATTTCACCGTCACTCCCGACTATTTGACCGGCTCCATTCTTTTCATTCGCAGGTTCTTCCAGGCGGTGATTCAGCGGGCAAATGAGCGCCGGTCTGCTGCTTCCCATCCCAACGCTCCAATTCCTCAGTCGGAACAGCCCGGGCAGACTTCTGCTCTGAGCGCGAGCAACCTTAGGCAGCTACAGCATCAACAGCAGCAACAGGACGAGGCCCTTCAGCGTGCTCGTCGTGCTTCCAGCCAGTCTGCGCCCGTACCGCCTGCGCCCTTCGGTGCTCCGTCACCCCAAGGTGTTCCAGCATATGGTTCTGGTGGACTTGTTCCCGAGAAACTGAAGCTCCCCCCACCCAAAAAGCGCAAGCAGTCCCACACCGGCGTATCCTCATCTCCCGTGCCGGCTAGTGCTCCAATTATCGCTGACGCGAGTTACAAGAAGGCCGTTGCGGACGCCAAGTCGACGGCTGCCGCTCTAGCTGGTGCATTCAAGTGCAGCGTCGTCGAGTGCCAGCATCATTTCCAAGGTTTCCCAACACAGGTCGCGTTGGACAAGCACGTCGAGGAGAGCCACAAGCCAGAGATGGAAGAAGTGATCGAGGATCCTATCCAATTCTACCTTGACAGCATTGACATCGGTCTTGGGTTGACCGCGGATACCCAGGGAGCCCAGCCGATCGCTACTACCAGCGCCGGCACCGCTCGATTGATGCCTTCCCCCGTCAAGCCTGGCCTGGCCACCCCTGCCTCCTCAACTGCAACTCCAATGATGCGAGCCGCGAGCCAGGTCGCTGCCAAGGGCGCGTCACCCGCTGCGTCTGCTCAGCAGCTCACCCCTCAGCTGGAGCAGGCCAAGAAACCGGGTCCCACGAAGCCTACCGCGCTCGAGCAACCGTCGGAACCCGCTCTCGCATGGGCTAATTCTCAGGTAACTCCTCAAGAGATTCGCAATACCTTTGATCCCCTTTTCGAGGAGGTCGATCCTTGCAATGGGCTCAGCATGTACTCTGGTGAGCCTTGGAGCTTCGACGCCTTACTAGCCAGCGAGTCCGCTCGTCGTGACCTGACCGAGGATACCCCCGACTCCAATGATCTGGCCCTAGCCACTCAGACTCCCCAGGATGATCTTAAGGACCCGATCAATTGGTCCGAGTGGTCAATGTACGATGAGGAGTCCGCTGCGGCAACCGCAGAGTGGATGAAGATTCCGCTCGAGCTCCAGGACAATTCTGGCGACGGTATCAAGGGTGTACATGTGGACTTTGACCGCCTTGAGCGTGAGCAGAAGGAGGCTACTCTCAGCGGTAGGGCCGGCCTTGTTATTCCTACTGCAGTGTGAGTGCGAAGATTCGAATCGGCCGGATTGAGCTTGACGAAGTTCCTTATTTATTCCAATGTCCATTTCGGTACGAACAAAGTTGCGGCGGACTTGTTTTTTTTACCCTTTTTCACGACTTGACTGTTATTGTTTCCTTTTCTTCCCATCCTGGCGGGTTTCCTCTGGCGTACATAGGATACGGGTCTCTGTCATTTTCGACTTTTTTTTCTTTTTTTTTTTTTCTTCTTCTGCTTCTTCTTCTCCTTCTTCTTTCCATGATGGGTCACAATCTGGAAGCGAGTGTACCATACCCCAACACGGGACTGCCGTTTTCTCTCATCCTTTCTTTGTGGCCAATTTTTCCTTTTCTCTTTCTTCCCTTCTTCCTTAATTTCATTTGAGCGATCCCTCTGCGTGGATACTGGATTCTGTGCCTTTTCCTTCTTTTTTTTTCTTTTTTTTTTTTTCTCTATTTGTGATTCCCATCTGGATCAGCGATGGCGTTCATACCGTGGGAAAAAAGATGATGGGTCTCTGTTTTTTCGCCCGGATGGGTTTTTGCTTGCTAATAGCATCTTTCTCTGTCTGACACCATTGATCTCATGACCTTGTCAATATCAGGGCAAATGGTTTTATCTTCTTTCTCTCTGATTCTATACTTGTACATTTGGCTCGTAGTTACATTCATTAGTTATTCGTAGTGTACGATAGGCTGTACTCCCAACTCCGCCCGTAGCTCCATTTGGTCAGCTGGAATGGATCCACCGAGTCACGTCAGCTGGCCGCTTATCAGCCCCGATAAAGGCGATCTCCGCTTTGTTCGACTCCAACCTCCTCCTCTCTCCACTTCTCCTCCTCACCATCTCTTCTCCCCGCCGCAAGTCCCCTCCAAGTATTACAGGGACATCATGGCGAACCGCGGCCTCATTCCAATTCTGGTCACGATGATGCTCGTGACCGGAGTTTGCAACACTATTCTCAACAAGTTTCAGGTAAACGCCCCCCAACCCGACTGATAACGAGGCAGGATTTCCAAGACTAATAACCCACCCGATCAAAGGACATGCAATGTGTACGAAACTGTGACTCGCCCAATCCAAAGGATCGGAAGCTGTTTGAGCAGCCCGTCATTCAAACGTAGGTGGCATCGCTTGCGGCAGCAGAGTCGCATAATGGGGACCTGGCTGCTTTGGACTCTTCGGACATTGGCTTACGAGATATTCCTGGAATCGATTAGGGCTCAAATGTTTGTCGGTGAAATGGGCTGCTGGATCGTTGTCGGATTGTCGATAATCTATAAACGCTTTGTGGCGCCTCGACTCACTGGAGACCCGTCTCCGCTATTCGAGGGCGGCTATCGGCCTGTTGGGGAGGAGGACGAAGACGAAGACCACACTCTTGACGGACGCGATGGCCATGGCCACAGGAAACCTGCACACGAAGATGACGATCGTATCAAATTGCGCGGCTGGCGGATTTTTCTGCTCGCTGCGCCATCTTGCTGCGATATCGCGGGCACTACCCTTATGAACGTGGGCCTGCTCTTTGTTGCTGCTAGTATCTACCAGATGACCCGTGGAGCCCTCGTTCTTTTCGTCGGTCTCTTTAGTGTGATCTTTCTCCGCCGCAAGCTGTTCCTCTACCAATGGAGTGCGCTCTTCGTCGTCGTACTCGGTGTGGCCCTGGTTGGTCTTGCCGGTGCGCTGTTCAGCGGCGAAACTGGTCATGATATCACCCAGGATGACGGTCTCGTACATGCTGATGGAAGAACTCCTGAAGCGGTGCAGACTATTATTGGTGTTTTGTTGATTGCCGCTGCTCAGATCTTCACGGCGTCGCAGTTTGTTCTTGAGGAGTGGATTCTTGAGAATTATGCCATGGACCCGATTCAGGTCGTTGGCTGGGAGGGTATCTTTGGATTCTCGGTCACCCTCATTGGTATGGTAGTACTGTATCTGGCCATTGGTAGTACTGATGCCGGTCGGTATGGATACTGGGACATGAAGGAGGGCTGGCACGAGATTAGCACGAACCGCGCGGTGGCGATCTCGAGTATCATGATCATGATTAGCATTGGGTATGTTGATTTCTTCTCTTCGTCTTTGTCAACCATTGGAACACCCATCTTGCTTGATTTCGAATACCGACTAACTCTACTCTCCAGTGGCTTCAACTTCTTCGGCCTTTCCGTCACCCGCACCGTCTCTGCCACCTCCCGCAGCACGATCGATACTTGCCGAACTCTGTTCATCTGGCTTGTTTCTCTGGGTCTAGGCTGGGAGTCATTCAAGTGGCTCCAAGTCGTTGGCTTCGGACTGCTCGTATATGGCACCTTCCTCTTCAACGATATCATCCGTCCCCCTCTTAAGGCGTGCCTTCCCTCTAACCGGAGGGAGGGCCAGGTACTACTTCCAGAGGAACCCATCGAGCATATGTAGAGTGGTACAACCATGACCAGGTCCTTCCCTGATAATCTATAGCCGAACCTGTGCGGTTGGCGCTTTTTATGCATTTGCATTCGGTAACTACGCTGGACGTTGGCGTTCTCCCGGCGGAGCTTGGATTGAGTTTACTTGTGGTGCTTATTTCTGCTCTGCTCTGCTTGGCTTTTTCGTTTTTCTTCTCAAGTACTCATTCATGTCTGTGGTTTCTGTCTATTCATGCCAAGTTTATCGGCGCCTTTCGTATTTCCGTTTCTTGGGATTCTATCATATCAACGCAACATTTGATACTTCGGGCTTGTCTCTCCTTGGATGTCTAGCTCAGTGCTTACAAATAGCAGACAGAAATTCCAGATCCTTGAAACAAACTGTTCCAGTGTCTCTTCCCTAACACTCCCGACTAAGGAACATACGTAAACCCATACCCATCATTGCTCTAGCATGTCATCCTTCTTGACCTGATCATTATTTTTTTTTACTCAACGCACGACATCACTGAATAGAGCTCTGTCAATTTGCACCTTGCAGCACTTGTCCATGCACCGAATCAGCTGCTCACGAAACATGTACAAGAAAGAAAAGGACCCTTCAATCCTAGGGAAAAGCAAGGGCAAACACAGGAGAAAGGAAAATACGCGGGGAAAATCAGAAGAAAACCAAGGGATGAAATGTCTAGGGGGGGGGGGGGGGGCAAGCAGGAAAAAAAAGTATGAAGGCGTAATGCGACTAAGGGGAATGTGTGTGTATAGAACCAGGAGGGAATTTTGAGGAGTTGCTCGTTGAATTAAAAAGATTTGTCCGTCTGAAATATTTTGTGACTTGAAAATGTCCCAACCTTGAGCTTTAAACTTTGCAAGATACAAATGAGGAATCGCTTGTAAAGAATAGCTTATGGCTCGGACCAGTCCACTTGGTCAGTCGCGGCTTTTCCGTCCCGAGTGGATGATACTCGGAGGCGAAGGCGGAGCTTGGGCGGGAGGGCCTAGATTAAAGAGTTATGCGGTTAGTTTCACGTTGAGCAACTAATAAGGACGTAGAAGTGGAACATACCCCATTCAGTGCAGTCACACGCAGTGTCTGGGTACCCTCATCACCGGCCTCGAGCTCGGCCTTGCTGATAGCACTCAGTTGCAAGCGCTGGCTTTTGGGCACAGCGGCCTGTAGGCCGACGTTGGCGAAGCTGTCAAAGTTGGACTCGTTGCGGAAGCGAGCTAGGATTTGAGCATGGGGGCCGCTTCGTTGCACTTGCAGAGTAAGCACAAGACCGTCCTTGTTGTAGACGCTGTGTGCAGGCGTAGAGGCGGAGACAGGTGCGGGCGAGGCAGAGGGTGATGGTGCAGAAGCACCAAGGCCACCTCCACCAAGCAAGTCAAGCGAGGCAGAGGCAGGCTGCTGGGCTGGCTGGGGTGATGGCGAGGCACCACTCGAGCCGAACAACTCCATGATAACGGCGTTGTTCATGGAGGTCTGACCCATGGGCGCGGGTGCTGGCGACGATGTGCTCGAGTCTCCTCCGCCCAGAATATCTGCCAGCAGATCGGCGGTGTTGGACCCGTTTGATGTCGGGCTTGTTACGGGTGCATCGGAGCCACCCATCAAATCGAGGAGGAGGTCGTGCTCGGCGGGCTTGGAGACCTTGGTGGACTTGCCGCGAAGGATCTTGCTCTGGCGCTTCTTGGTGGGCGCACCCAGCACTCGCTGCTCTTCGCGAATCTCAGGAGCAGGCATGCGCTCCAGAACACCACGGCGAATCTGGTCGTATCCGAACAAGTTGCTATACTCGACGGCACGCTGCTGGATCTCCACACTCAAATCGGCAGTGCGACTGGAGAGAAGGCGACGGAGACGATCAATCTGGGCGGGGTCTGATAGGCGTGTGGTGAGCTTCATGGTTGCGGTGATGATATACTCGACGACGGTCTGATTAGCGTAGGTGCTGTTGAGGATGTTGGTGAGCAGGTCAACAATGTCGCTTTCGCGGACTTCCTTGACCAGCTCTTCTTCTTCGTATTGGCCGCCCTGCAGTAGACTGTCGGCATATTCACCAATCGTCCAAGTAGCCGCCAGTGTAAGACCCTCTTGCGAGATATCCTCCTTCAAAGAAGAGTAGAGCTTCTGGACGGCATAGGTCTGCAGCTCGGGAGTAGTAGCGATAAGGCGAACGAACGAGGACAGAATCTGCTCCTTGACGTAGTTCCCAGCCAGCTTGAGAACCCGCAGGATGGTATCCAAATGCCAGCGCTTATTCGGGGCGAAACGATCAGCAGCGATACCAATCTGGGTGGTCATCACGGGCTTGAACTCATTGTCGGCCACTTCCAAGAAAGCCAGCAATTCTCGCACTAGCACCCGCACGTTGCTCTCGTTGATCAACATGAAGCTGAGATCAAGCGCTCGCCGGCGAATGCTGATATCAGGATCCCGCAGACATTCCAAAATGGTGTTACGGTGCCTTTGTACCGCGTTCGGTTCGATAGCAACGACCTTGTTAAGTGTGTTCAATGCAACGTAGCGGATGTTGTTATCCTTGTTAGACAAGAACTTTCCGAGAATGTTGACACCCAAAACCCTCAGCCCGGAGTCGGCTTCAATGTCCAGAATGGTGAGCACAGCCTCGTACAGGATGGCATTGCCCACGTTCTTTGATGAGTCGGTGTTGGTGGCCACCTGGGCAAGGATATCGTTGATCAATTCACTGGTTGCCGCATCCCCCCGGGCCAAGACCCGTAGGAACCTAAGTATCTTAACCTGAAGGAAAGGATCCGTAATGCCAGAGACGTCATGCTCCGGGGCATATCCGGACGTTGTAAGACCCTTCAAAGCACGCACGAGACCCCCGGCGAGCGGTCGGAACACCTCAATGACTCCCTCGGGGCCTTCCTCTTCCTCCTCAGCCTCACACAGATCAATTGCAAAAGTCAGACCACAAAGTAAAACGCCATGGTTTCGATCCCCAAGTAATGTCTTTGCCTTTTCCAGGAAATGTTCATGCAGATCCGGGACCTTGCGACATATCCGCATCGCACAGATGGCGGCTTTCCGTCGAATATAGGGGTTCGCTGTAGACATGAGGTTTTCGACTTCGGTGAAGAGGTCCCGGGACATTTCGATAGAGGCGATGTTACCGAGCGCGCAGAGGGCGAGTCCGACAATATACTGGTTCGAGTGGCTCAGGTCACTGGCCGGTTCATCAGTATTTCTGTTCTTTGGGGGCACAATATGACTTTCAAAATGACGGGGGGTACTGACTTTTGCAAAGAATTGGTCACTAGTGTCAAAACCTCCTGATTCTCGTCGAGCAACAGCATCGTTCCCAGGTAGCCCAGTCGCTTGTCGGCGAATCGGTGCGAGGCGAGTAGCTTGAGACATTCGATCTGACCAAAGTGAGTCCGCTCACCCAGCGTGAAGAGATAGAGCAATTTGGCCACATTGTTCCTCCTGCAAACCGTCGTTAGAACCGTTGGTATACATCAATGGGGAAGAGGACGAGGGTGTTGGAGATCTAACCGGATGCCCGAGTCGTGGCTCTCTTCGCGAAACGAGGCTCGAATAGCAGCGCTTTCTTTCTGAATAACTGCCCGCTCATCGGCAATGGTTTTGGCCGATCGCACATTGCGGATAAATTGCTTCACTGTTGGACATGCGGGGGTTAGGTCATCATCCAACCTCAGGGGAGACGATGAGGGGCGGCAAGCGGCCAACTTACGGGAAGACATGGCGATCCACAACCCCTGGCGGGGTCAGGAGAGAGAAGGGACAATTGAAGAAGTCAGAAAGAAGGCCCGCGGTGGGATCCGAGACAGATACGGTAGCTCGCACGACAGTAGTTGAAGCAATTCAGCGTCCGGTCTGGAATGGCTTTATTATTATGGCCCGTGACTTGAGTTGACCTGGCTTCTCGGCGCGGGAAAGGTGCGCTAGTCCCGAAAAAGGGGAGGTGCGCCTGGATGACATAAGCGGCACTTTGAGCGGGTCACCTGACTTGCTCTTTACATTCACTGTAGACGAAGGAATCAGAATACTGTTGCCCAAATGCGATAAGGATACCTTTGTTAGGGCCTTCAATCTCTCTTGGAGTAGCCGTGCTTGGTCAGATACCTTCCCATCTCTCTCATTGCCCGTTGAGACTCTGATCAACCACTCTCTTATGCATAGTCCGTTGATGATCATGATGCGTGATTTAGAGTACGATGTATGGTCAGTCTAGGAGCAAATCGATGGGATACGAACATCAGTCTCCTCGAATGAACTAGGGCGCTTGGTATTCGTGGGGGTTCTTAAAATTGACACGCCTAAGCAATTGCTATGAGTGCACCTAGTGTATCTCTAGAACACTCTACGTAGAGAGCTGGGGTGAATTTTGCGTTGGCCTGGCTATGCCTAACATATGGTTTGACACACCTTTGAACTGAAACTCAATAAAGACACATGATGTAGATGTGTATTAGTCAGGATATTCTTGAACTATCGATCTTAGGGGACCCTAAGGTAGTCGAGTTACCGCCTCAGCATAGCTGACCGGGGGCAGTTCCAAGACAGCCCGACGTCATTGGCATACCAAGTTTATGAACGCGCTAGGGTGACGAGCAAAGGCATACTCCTCTGTAAATTATTGGACATAGTGCTAATTGCCATGGCCCTAGTCTTAAACAGTTCGCAGCTCAGCCCTGTTCATGCCACCACATGGCATTACCACAATAAGGTACGCCCATAAATCTGTAAGGGTTTAAGGCTCACCATTGACGTAGTTGAACGGGACCCGCCCCAATTTTCGGCTTCCGTCTGGTCCGCGGATCCTCGGACCTTGACATAGATCAGTCAACACAATAACCATCCACACCTGGCTTTCTCCCGATTTTCCCCCGTTACCGTTTTGTTGTTTTCAATGTGAAAACTTTCTCCTCCATAGAGCATACCTGCAATTGCATCCCTCCCCTCCCCGCCCGAGGATGTCCAGCGCCATCGCCCAGAAGGACCCATCCGTCCTCCGGCCGCGCGCTGTTCTCATCCAGCCCGACGCAAAGGCTGATGCGAGTCTCACGCCTCCGTTGCTGGACAGGCTGAGTTCAGATACAAGGTATATTGCTAACACATTTCTCGAATCCCCTTGAGTCTCCGACAATGCCTTCTAACTCATCTTCCCACAAATGCAGCGGCCGCTCCACCCCCATCCCTGAAGATGCGCCCCCCTCGGCGAAATCGATCGCGGTAGCCCGCAAGCAAGTACGCGCACGAAATCGCCTCTTTTATACCATCGACTATATCCCTCGAGTGTCCCACTTCGACCCCGACAGCGACTACCACAATTTTCGGGGTTTCTTTACCTTGTTTTGGATCAGTTTGGTGATTATGGTGGTTACGACTGTGCTCCGCAACATTAAGGATACTGGATATCCGTTACGGGTGCGAGTCTGGAGTTTGTTATCGGCCAATGTGTGGGAACTGGGTCTGAGTGATCTAGCCATGGTAGCCAGCTCGGCACTTGTCCTGCCCATGCATAAGCTCTACCGCAGCGGGCCGAAGTGGCTGCGGTGGGCACGTGGAGGCGTGGTCCTCCAAAGTGTCGGAGAGGCCCTTTGGCTGGCAGTGTGGATCAAGTAAGTTTGTTTCCTAATCTAGACTTTTGGATATAGACTTTGAGCTGACCTTTGGCTCCAAAAGCTGGCCATTTATGCGTCTGTGGACTTGGACATCCCAGGTGTTTTTCACCCTCCATCTCTTGACGATCCTTATGAAACTCCACTCATATGCTTTTTATAATGGTCATCTTAGCGAGACTGAGCGACGCCTTGCCGCTCTTGACAAGCCTGGCCCCATTGAGCCGACATCTCCTGGCGCAATTCGGTACCCAGAGCCATACCGCCGCCGTCCCTCAATGAAGCCCCAGCATGACGAGGATGACTCTACCGAACCCCTGGTCCGATTACGTGAAGATCTGGCAACAGAGCTGACATCCCCCTTGGGCAACATCTCCTACCCTCAGAATCTGAGCCTTGGAAAGTATGCAGACTTCCTCTGTTGCCCGACTCTCTGCTATGAGATGGAGTACCCCCGTCGACTTAACCGCCGGTGGGACGAGATTGCATGGAAGACTCTTGCAGTCTTTGGATGTATCTTTTTGCTCACGCTAACAAGTGAAGAATTCATCGTACCTGTCCTGAGCGAGGCACACGGTCAACTAGAGGCCCTGGACAGTGTGACCGACAAGGCACTCGTCTTGGCCGAGACCATCAGCATGCTATTGTTCCCTTTCATGGTGACATTCCTGCTAGTCTTCCTGGTAATATTCGAATATGTGCTAGGCGCATTCGCGGAACTAACCCGGTTCGCCGATCGACACTTCTACTCTGACTGGTGGAACTCGTGTGACTGGTGAGATCAACGTTGTCCTAAATTCAAATCTCACCCTCACGAAACTAACATCTACATCAGGCTTGAGTTCTCGCGAGAGTGGAACGTCCCCGTTCACCACTTCCTCTTCCGCCATGTCTACTTTCCAGCCCGCTCGCACTTTTCTCAACCCGTGGCCATGTTTATCACGTTCCTGGTCAGCTCGATCTTCCATGAAGTAGTCATGAGCTGTATCACCAAGAAATTGCGCGGCTATGGCTTCGGAGCTATGATGCTGCAGCTACCCATCGTCGCAGTCCAGAAGTCACGGTTTTTCAAGGGTCGGAAGACTCTCAATGTAAGTGCTGATAACATGGATCGTTTTATGCCGAGAGTAAAGTACTAAGATTCAATGTAGAATGTTTTCTTTTGGTTCTCGATGATCCTGGGTCTCTCCATGGTGAGTTTATTTACAGCATATATTTCTGCTTCGTGGCTGCTCAGTTACTAATGCCACGACTTGCAGATGTGTGTCTTTTATGTACTCGTCTGAGCCTGTTTCTGTCTGCACGAATTTTGAATCGTGCGCAAATAGTGGATATATATCCACTGCTCGTGCGTCGATTTCAGGTAGGTTGGAAATGTACAGTAAGGATTAGGTTAGGAGATGCGTCGCTCTATCGAATACCCCCTTGGCTGGTTGAACGTTTGGATCCGGGGCTGAGTTTGGAGAGGTCCTCAGAATGACTCTGTAAATAGTTGCAATGAACTTAGCTATTTTACACTCATATGCATCAAGCATTATCTTCTCTTTACACTTGATTTTTCTGCTTGGCGTCTATCTGGCAGAGAGGCTTGGGTATAGACGTTGGGCACGCAGAGAAGAAATCGAAAATGTGGGTACCATTCCATCCTCCTTAGGTAATGACCGAAGGAATTAGATGCTAGCATAGTTCATTGAATGTATCTCGGACTGTATCTGAACCTTCTTCAATCTCAATTCATTTCACTATATAGGCATCTATCTATCAACACTAGTCTACCCAATACACCGTGTATCTAGGGCAAAACAAAAAAAGAGAACACAAAATACAAGAAAAGTATCAGAAAATAGTCATATCAAATAGCGTTAATTCGTTACGTAGCAAGGCTCTCGCCCCACCGAGGGTCATTTCACGGGATTCTAGATAAAATGTGGTCCCGGACTAAAGATAAAAAGGCGCAAAACAAACACGGACCGAAACAGAACAAAGCACGAAACACCAAGGACAAACCAGGTAAGAAAATAAGATCAAGATGCGCCGCCAGATAGGTGGTAGTATGGTATGTTGATTGTGAGGTCATGAAAACAATAACACCATATCCCCAAGCCCCCGTGACCGTAGCGCCAACAAAGAAACCAGAATTGTGTAGGGCACGCCACTCCCCCCACCGGGTGTGCCTGATCATGCGCGGATACCCAAACCAAACCGAACCGAATTGTACCGTCCCAATGCTAAAAGGGGTGGGGAGGGAGAAGAACATTCATCACCCTTGGGCGGAAGCTACCATGTCCAGGTGCCTATCGAGGCATGGATGGCCAGGGGTTTCCATAAGATAGTATGAAGATGGACTAAGACTGCAGCTGCAGCCATGGTCCACACAAGTATTGACAAGAAGGGATCTGCAACAAAAGTAAAAAAAAGATTGCGAAAGAACAGACATGACGTTGGTGAGAACTCTTGGGGGGGGGGGGATAATATGCATGATCTTGGGGCTGTCGTCATTTATGTGATTTTCGATCATACAGCGGTCGACTGCCGTCTTCCCATTGGGTGATGACGGGGGTCGTTGTAGTAATTAGATCGGCCAGGCGACACGTGGACGTCGCTGGGTCGAATCTCGCGGGTGTACTTGACGTCTTGGGCCCGGGGGCGAGCAGTGTACTCGACATCATCGTACTGCCGCACAGGCCGCACAGAGCGGACCTCTATGCGGGGGGATTCTGTCTCGAAGGAGGCAAAGGTGCTGGCTCGCTTTGGAGTCATACGAGACCGTTCGGGAGATACAGAGCGGTACTTGGAGGGTTTCGAAGGCTCGATGATCACTGGGTCAACGATCTTGTATCGAGCGGTCGTCTTGGGGGAGGAGCCTCTGGCGGGCATCTCAGGGGTGCTAGGGCTGGAGTAACCAGAGTCATAGCGTCTGGAGGATCGGGGGACCGGCTCGCGGACCATTTTGTCCAGAATGGACTCATCGCGGCTGAAAGTCTCCCGTTTGGGACGAGTGAAGCCGGTCGAGGTAGTGGCACGGGCTCCAAACAAGGAAGGGCGGATAGAGGACTTGTAGGCAGGAGAGGTGGAAGAACTAGGCATCTTGGGAACCTTGAACTCTTCACGTTCCCGACGTGGGGATTCCAGGTCCTCCCAGGAATTGTTGCGCGAGGAAGACTGATTCCGGGTTGAGCGGGAGGACCGAGCCGTGCGCCGGCTGGTGTTCATCTCTGGTTCGGCCGACTCGTAACCACGGTGTCGCTGTGGAGACCGAGATCCCCGCGGGCCTTCGTGCTTAGAGCGTTGAATGTGTTCCTCGGCCAGATACTGCTTTAGCTTGTATCCCCCGGAAAGCTCATCATAGTCGTCATCATCATAGGATCCACCGCGACGCCGTGCCGATTCCGTTGGCCGGGATCGCGATTCCCTCGATTCCCGGGGATCGCGGGACTCGCGGGATCGGTAAGCAGGCTTCTTTAGACGCACGTAGACATCAGAGCCACTGGATTCTGAACCGCTGTCGGATTCCGCAAGCGTGTCATAGCTATCGTACTTGGCCGAGGCTTGCTGGCGGCGTTCACGGTCGCGTTGTTTGGCTTGGTCAGCCAGCTTTGCTTTGGTTGTCTCGCGCTGTTCCTTGGCCGCTCGATGGCTGCTCGTCGGCACGCGAGTTTTCCTCTCCTCGGTCGATTTGGACTTGGATCGCATGCCAAACTCTTCGTACTTGCGTGACATGGAACGGGGCTCTTCGGTGAACCGCAATTCCTCATCTAAGATGATATCCACCGGCACTCGCTCCTCAAAGACGCGACCTTCTCGCACTTCGCGGGGAGCCCCACTTCCACTGCCTCGTGGAGAAGAATACGGCGTTGACTCTGCGTTTCGTCGACGCTTCTCGAGCAGTTCCCGCTTCAACTCGGCTAGTTTGGCCTTTTGGTCGTAGCGGGCGCGGCGGTTCTCATCGGAGAGTGTTTCGTAGGCTTGCTGGACTCGCTGAAACTCATCTTGAGCAGCAATTCGTTGGGACTCATCTTGAACCTTGTCGGGATGGCACTTTAAAACTCGTTTTCGATGGGCAGCTCGAATCTCGGAGACGGTGGCATTCTTGGAAACGCCCAGCACCACATATGGGTCGAGATCGGGTGGCGATGTCATGTTCCGGGGGTGAGGGTCTGTGATCAGGGGTATCAGGGGTTTGAGAGGGGAATTTCCAATCCACCATCAACAGGGGATTTCACACGCCCTGTTAGGAATTGAAGGAGATAGAGAGGGGACAGAGAGGTGTAGGACTGAGGATTGGAGGTTTAGAGAAGAGGGGGAGAAGAGGCGGTGGAGCACGAGCGACGTATGTATGGAATGCCCTGGGGAACGGAGATCGGACAGGAATCCACATCCAGAAGATACTGGCAGGGCCCGGAATGACCGATCAGGAGAGCGGGAGGCAAATAATCGGGGGGCAACCTCGTCAGGAGATTGAGCCGAAGCCGACCATGTAATCCTGAGCTACGTGGGATCGTTGTCCAAGTGAAAGGATTTGAGGATTAGAAATGGGCGATGGAAGGTCGGCGACGGTCGGGGTAAGGAGGGCAGGGAAGGAAAGTCGGGAGTGGTGCCGTGCCAATAAAAGAAGACCAAAAAAGGTACACCAGGGGGGGAAATGCTTTAGGCGTCTCAGTCAGAGGAGTCCAAGACCAGCTCTGGAAAGTCAGGATGAGACGGTGGTAGTCAAATCATGCCAAATCAATCTGAGCGATATTGATGATTTGAGCCACAGTCGGTTTCAGTCCTCTCCGTACTGAAGTACAGTATACGGACGAATTTCCGTATTGGTATGGTAATCCTGGTGGGTTCGGACTCCGCCACTGCGACGACGCCAATGCGGTGGCGGTTAAGAGAGAAAGATTCTGCGTGGAAGGTCTCCAGATCGACCGAAAAAAAAAGAACTAAACCTGCTGCTGCTCGCCTCACTTCGTCCTCGTTCAGCACTGGATGCCCAACGCAAGATTGTGAGGGCGTGTCAGAGAAGGGGGAGTGAGAGGGCTGGAGAGCTGGATAGCTGGAGGACAGCCTGGAAGAGAAGAAGCGGGCTAAGAGAGTGTCTTATCACAGTGTAAATTGGACTTGGAGAGAGGATGATGCTCGATCACCATCATGCCATCATTTCATTCTTAATTTTTCCCTGGACAGACCGGCCTACTAATACATGAACTCCGTCCCCAAAGACAAAGACGAGGCGATTACACCCTCCTCGCCCAGGGCCTCTCGGATGCCTGTCACCCATCACCCATCACCCCCAACGCCCTCATGGCTAGGCGCTTGATGCGCTGCTTTGACTGGCTCCGATGGGCTCTCTCACTGGTGCGCCTTCATCGGCTTGGAAATAAATTATTGGATTTATTCCAGCCAATCCTCCTCGCACCCGATTCGTCTGATTTTGGCCTGGGCCCCGTTCGCCAATCACAAGAGCGTGACGTTTCCGTGGGGGTGGTGGAATTAGACATCCTAAGGGATAAACAGCATCCAACTGCTCCGTATACGGAGGGAGAACGGGGCGTCTGGTCGTCCGTCAGGTGGGGCTCTCTATCAACACGAGGGCCATCATCCCGCTCTTTGATCCCTCATGGATCGGCTCTTCAAAAACGATGGTCATCATTACGCAGCGGATTATATGATTGAGCGATGCCCGTGATGATCCCAAGCCCCCAACTCTACCAACGAGACCCAGGTCCCTCGCTTTATTTCCACTGCCCCCGCATTGCTGTTCATGATTTGGGTCCTGCCAGGGCCAACGCCAGTGACCAACTCCAACCAACCAACGTACGTGGAGTTTCCATAGTTACGTATGGCGCTAGTCAGCGACATGGCTAACTTAGCTTGCCATGTACAAGTTGACTAAACTGGGAATCTCGTCAAATCCCCCTACCCCGCCGCAGATCTAATCGAGTGGACCAAGTCTCGGACGTGCAGATCTACCGCTTCGGACAGGGTTGGACCTGTTCCATCTCCCTCAACTGACACTCCCTCCTGACAGGTACTCGGACATGTACCCCACGACTGCCTTGGATTGATCTGCCGTGACCTATTCATTCTGACTCTTCTCGCCTTTTCCCAATAATTCCATGCCCTCATAGCTTATAGTCTGTTGGTTGGTTCCCCCTCGCAAGGCTTTACCCCTTCTACCAACCAACCATCCTGTACTATGTACTTCGCATAATGCACAGTAAAAAGACGGCCGATGCCGTCCCTTCTGACAAGCCAATGAGATACCCCGCATCGCGAGGGCTCGAGTCTTTTTTTCGCCTCGTCTCTTTTGCCTTTGCGCACGCCCCACGCCAAAGCTAGCATCGCCCAGAGGTGTCCGATTGGATGAACGCTGTGGCTGGCTGTACAGTCTTGATCTGTACATGAGCCAATGTATATATCGAAACTCAATGTATGGAAAAGATACATAGAAATACAAGCAGTCGTATGCAAATCCCTCGCCACAGTTTGCTTGCTATATGGAAAAAAACAGAAACGTAAGAATATGATGGGACCTGACGGTCCTGACTTCACCATGTTTGGTTTGCCGAAACTCGTGGGCCGGGTGGTTCCGTGGACACCTTAATTTGTGGCTTATCGTTCCACCGTCTCTGCCTGAAGAGTTTCTAGTCCCGCTCTGGTGTACAGTGCGACGGCCTTTTCACTATATATAGACTTTTCCCTGGGTCACCGACTTTTCCCCGCCATTTAGAGATCCTTTGCATGGTACAGTCATTGCTCCAGGTAATCAGTTCAGTAGGTATGGATACTCTTGTTTTATTCCGTTTATTGTCGCTGCCCAGAGCTGAGGATTCAGCTTGGTCAGCGTGCAGCATAGGCGGTTCAAGTATGTCTGTATGTACATGTACCTCGATGTATTGAGGTCAAATGGCTGTCCACTCACGAGGTAGATGCCACTTCTAGTAAAGCCCCGGGGCCCTGCGCGACCATTTAGCTCATTATTCTCTGCCAACCTAGAACCATCCCCTGTCCATTCTACCGAGCCTACCCTTACTCCAAGCAATCAGTCGGTCAACCGTGGGACGCAATATGGGGCCGAGGCCGGGGACCCGCCTACAAATCGTATTGCCTTTCTTGTTCAGTCCATCCACTCTGTCCCACCGGGACCCATGATCCAACGTGTCCCTCTCTCTGCCATACACTCTCAATAACCCAATCGTTAGTCGCCCCCACCCTACTACTGATACAGTGCGGAGTACCGCAAACGAAGGGTAGTTGCGACTTGCCCCCCCCAAACCAGAGCTTCATTATTATCATCTCAGTCTCGTAGTCATATAGACCCGATGCTGTGGTCCAACTAGCGATATCCTGCGAACGCATCAGCTGGATGCAGTTCGGCAATTCTGAGACCGAGGCGGCTTTTTTCTTTTGTGAAAGTCTGTGGGCTTTTTACCTATGGGAGTAGTGATCAATCTACCGGTTGAGCGACATGGTTTCTCAAGAAGCATGTGTCTAGCAATGGGACAACTATAGCCTAGGTTGGTCCAATCTAGCACGTAGAAATGTCTCGGTCATTTGATGCTCGGAAATAAGAAAGAAATGTGATGGGCTCTGCAGCTATCCATTCATCCATTCATCCGTTTACTTCATGAGACCACCGATAGCCTCTCATTCTATGCGAGGCCACCATGTGTCAAACAATGTATCAGGGTCTCAGCTCTGACTCAATATTCAACCTCATCAGACTCACTAGACTGAACCCCGGGAAGCTGAGTTGTAAAGGCCCACCACTCAAATAGCCTCCCACTACCACCTTTCAGTTTCAGCCAGTTCTGGCTGTCAGCCATAATCATGAACTGTAATCATAAATCCTCCGGGCCTATAAGCATTACTAGGCAAGTCACACACGCGTCCTTCCTCCCGAAGCACAGGGTTGAAACGTTCCCTGTAAAAACCCTAGTGCTGAAGAACTTTCATTATGCCCTGCATCGAGAGTTGATCAATACTCAAACTCCCCGCGACATTACGATTCAGACTAACGATCTGATCATCGGTGGATTCCCTAGTAGACCTTCTATGACTTCAGCATATGTGTTCAATTTCACACACCAAGCATCAGCGCAACCACTAGACAGCGCTGATCAACGAGAACCTGGTTTCTATCCGAAGAGAAGCACGCGCATCAGGCAACAAAACAAGCCAAGCTAGAACATCTATGCAAGTATGAACCCCTGCATCGAGGTCATGTTTCACTCAATCAAACAAATACTATCATCGCTTCAATCAAGCCACCATTCTAGAAACCGAAAAAACACCGCACTAGACTCTCCCCAATAGATCATCCCCTCCAGTCTCCTACAGGTGATCTGCCAAACAGGATGCTAAACGAGACGGGTGGTGTGGTCCCCACCACCCAAACCCATGCAAGCAACCCCGATATACCTGGCTGAAGAAAACCGGTCCCTACGCTGCAGATGATCGGCTTTGCAGTTCAACAGAGAACCGTTGTCGGGGGAGGGTGGGTGATGCAGCACATGGTTGGCGGAGCGGATTTTCCAGACATTGTGCGGGTAGCCACTGAGAGCGGGTATATAGGCGCCCGAGGTGATAGGGTGATAGGGCTTAATGGGATGGAAGGGGGAAGGGGGGAAGGTCGAGACCGGGAAAAGTCTTTGAGTTTAGAGGGAGATTTGCAGTGCAGCTGACTGAGGGAGGGGAGACGTGATGGGGGGCGTGATATCACGGTTTTGCGGCGGCTTTGGCGGGCGATCTGTCAGATGCGCAACGGTGTGGATGGACCATGTACATTATGATGTACTGAATGATGTATGATATTAATGTACCGCAGGTATAGACCTACGCTTGCGACTAAATAGTGCGGGGTTGCTGTTGCTGTTTCTGAAATTAGAGGCTCCTCGACATACTAGTACCCCTCCTCGGACTACGATATCTAGCATCCTCTAGTCAGGTCTTCGACATACCGGCGACTTACTATGACTACAATATCGAGCAAGACTATCTTCAATTTGCAGGCCGATCAGGGCTCCCACCGGATCATTACTCGGGTCCGTCAGCCAGTTTAACGGGTCCCAGCCTCCCAGCCCTGAAACCAAGCTGCATGGCACACCTGCAAAAAGGCTCAGAGTATTGGATAGCAGATAGCTCAAAAACCCCACGACCAATGAGAGATTCATCCAGTTCGTGTAGCAACAAATGATGTCAGCCATTAGAGTCTGACAGCATCGCCCGAACGCGCCAGTTCCCCTCCACCCGGCTCCTGAAGAGGGCAATATATGCATCAAAGCGACCAACCATGAACAAGCAAAAGGCCAAAGCTCCTTGAAAATATTCCTGTTTGACACTAGAACATGCACCGGATCGGAGCCTGCCCCCCCTTAAGCCACAATATGTACCGCTGCACCTGTGAGCAGATGCCGTGCGCATATAATGCTTTACTCCGTCGTGATAAGTCTGCTTCGAGAAAGCTGTCTACTGCCGTAGCTACCGCATCGGGATAAGATCAAGGAGGCTTTGACCGAGGGCTGGGAGGAAGTCAGATGCACACATGAGGCGTGGGCTCACGATGCATAGTCGCCCTGTCGGACGCTGAGAAGTCCGCCAATATCTGCAATTTGCCTGTTGCTTGTGGCCACTCGGATAGTCCCGGTGGCATTAGCAAATGCACATCGCCCTTTGTAGTATGTGCAAGGCGTAATATAGGGCTTTGTGGTTACTCGTATTTAATGACGAGGCCGGCAGTTGAATGCAAAGCAAGGTCGAGGGTTCTCTTCCCTGCCTTGCGCAGGCGCAGTTCGTAGCTTGACGTTCCCAAGCCAGCACTGGTATGGCCTAGCCGCAGACTAGATCCACGGAAGAAGGACCGTAGGTGACAAAAGGTGCCCTGTTCCTCTTTCTACTATCTATTAGCGACAAGGTATCCTGACGGCATCGCCAACCAGATCGCCTTCTGGTCTAGTTACAATGAATACAAACAACATGGCGAGTGTGTCATAAGCCTCGTTAACGCCTTGTTATTAATGCACATGGCCGTAAATTACCAACGACGCCTTACTATAGCTAAAGTCTGCGCATTATATCCGATGAATACAATTCTCTGGTCCGTGTCTCAGCAAGGCTTTGATGGGCACAAATATATTGGTTGTAATGCTTTCGTTTGTATCCAGAGTGTAGCATGACTCGTGCTCTGCTTAGAGAGCTGGCCTTCTTAAGGATCCAAGAACAAACCTAGGAATCCCCAAAGAGTGGATCTGACTCTTGAGGCAGGGCTACGCAGATAGTCACTAGCTGTGCCTTTGTTAAAGAAGTGAAACCAGTAGCTTGGAATATATGACCCTTGTGTAATCTGTCTCGGGTGTTTGAATTTGTGGGCACGAAAGATATATCCGTACATTGCATGACTATCTGCTGGTGTCACTTGGTCAATGTTGTTTGTTTGATTGGGAAGTTGTGATCTCGCCTGTCTATGATTGACGAGGAATCTATAAAGAGGCATGAGGCTCTTCGTGGCATTAACGACCTGTTTTTCGACCTAATGCTTTGAGGTAGAGAAGCTGGAGAAGCTGGATCTCGCTCTCTACAGAGGTCTCTTCAGTCAATAAATTAATCATCAGTACATTTAATAAGGGACTTGAGGATTCAGATATTAAATTTTGCCATTCAGTTAGTGGATTACTCTGTTGTTTAAAAGCTAGAACGTTCCTCTATGTGAGATGCCACTTCTTGGTATTAAGCGACCACTTGAAGCACATACTCAACTACTCAACATTTAATTGATTTACTTTCTATCTCGTCGAATCTATCAACCCTGAAAAGCTTATCTAGAGGCCATATATAACATATCACACCTAGAGATAGTCTTTCCTTTTTGAATTTCTTATATCTGATATCTGACGTCTGTCTAAATAGCTTCAGTTCAGGCAGTCGACGTTCATGTTACTCAATAATCATTATTTCCATTCCCTGCCCCGGCGAGGCTTTCGCTGGCATTGTCGAAATAACCTAGTACCTTTTACATGACGTCGGGTGCCTTCAACATAGATCGTGCTGCATAGATGACTAATTGCGTTTCTTTGTGGTTGCATGGGTACCCATCCCAACTATGAAAGTCATTATTTGCTGATATATCGTGAATTTGGCAATGGATCAAGCTGTTCTTCCCGAATTACCAATTGCAAGGACTGAAATTCCCCACTCAAGAAATACGAATTTGGAGAGATAATTCTGCAATGATGCCACATCAGCGCCCCATTTCAGCAGCATGTTGCTGCTGATAGGTGCCAAGACTGCAGCAAAATAGAGTAGAGTTTGATATGGTTAAGTCAATGACTTATGATAAGATTTTCTCAGATTAGCATAGCTCCATATAAGAGGAGTAGCTATAGCAGAAGACGTATCGGAGACATATCCTTGTCCGTGGCCGCTAGGGTGAAGGTTAATGGCGAGCTCTTGTAATGATTTACCATGGCTGTGTTGTTGTCAGATCACTGCAATGGCTTTCGCTTTAATTGCTATAGCAAGGGCAGGCAAGTGACAATTAGCAATGGCTCAGGTGGAGGTCTTTGTTTTCACGAGGAGTTGCACACTTGCTTCCTAATTGTGTGTAGCTGCCACATTTAGAATTGTGGCCCCGCATCTTTTGTGTCAATATCTGCTCCCTTGCATATCAACCTCATTAATACGGTAGGGATACCCTTTTCGACTGCTGTATAGAGGGTTTTTGTCCCACGACTATGTCTACAGGACAAATTGGGTCACGGCCAAGAGCTTAGAAGGTCTCGTTGACATTGAAACCAAACCCCCCCCCCCCCCCTTTTTTTTTTTTTTTTTTTTTTTTTTTTTTTTTTTTTTTTTTTTTTTTTTTTTTTTTTTTTTTTTTTTTTTTTTTTTTTTTTTTTCCCTTTTTTCAATCTTCTCTCTTCGACTGTGACTTCATTGATAAGGAGCCACCTGACTAAATCCATGTCCCATCTCCCGTTGCCACAAGTAGAAATGAGTATGGAATGTATTCCGCATTTCTCTTGACCAGTAGCTCAGATTATATTCCATCTCTTACTTGAGAATTCATGGCTCAATTTCTAACAGCCCAAAGTGGCGGCTGATTCCTCAAAAATTGGCCACTAATTATCTACGAGTCTTGACGTGGAGTAATCTAAATCTGGAAACTGATTGCAAAACTTGCCCTCGGGCATCAACCAAAACTCCGTAATATTCTCAAACTCTCCTTCATTTCCACAATGTAATCAGCACTGATGCGGAACAAGCAAGGCTTTATCTCTATAGCTCCAAGTATCTTCGTTGTAAAATGCCATTGGGAGCGTTGTTCCGCAACTAGTACCAAGGACAGCAGTTCGACAAAGAGGAGTATGAAGATCTTGAACAGTCAACCTATCATTCCCTCTCACAGACAGGAAACCTTGGATTGGCTGTAGGAATTCGAAGGGGAGGTTATCGCAAACATAATATGTGTCACGTTTGGAGAATCTGGTATGGATAGCATGGGATTGATTTCAGATACAAATCAATAGCTAATATTATCTTATCTGTATTTTTTTAATACACAACTTGCCATGCCAGCTTTATGAGTCCAATAACGGTCTAGCTTACTCCCAGCACGGCCGCTAGATTGTCTCGAGTTCAACAGCTAGTATGTTGCTTTCCTGGTGACACAGGTGCTAGTTCTCGGGGCTGAAACACCTATTAGACGAGAACAGCGCTTGCAATTGGAACACGTGTTATTGTTGCTGGTAACTTGTCGTTGCCTACGGTCATATCTACGTGCCATTTGAAGCAACAGCTCGAGAGGAGTAGTTGGTCAGGGCTGCTATATTTCCAGTTGTATTGCACAGGACAGGAACTTCTCCAGATCCTAGTGCACCCATTTTCTGCAATCCACAGCATGGAGTGGGAAGCTTGGTTCAGGAACAACTTAATATTACTCTGCTCAAGCTACGAAAAGACGCACAATTGTCAACTTGATTGTAGTTTACTCCCCTCGATCTGGATGAAGATAGGCATACTAGTCATCTTCACCGTGATAATTTTGCTAATCACCAGGATACAGCGTCATCAATCATTCGGACAGCTTTACGATAGTATCGGTCGAAGCATCATTGATTGCCAGGGCTGCATGGGAAGAGACTGATCAGTAGGATAATATTGACCGACCTGACTGAACATTGAGGAATTTCCACCCAATGGGAACTCACATCACCCGTAGATCACAATCCCCTGCCTTATCAGTTGAATTTCTAGAACATTGCCACACTCGCAGCCCTAACGGCTTGCCCTAAAGGCGTGGGCGAAATGGCACCCCAATTCCGAAGATTGGGGCAAAATTGAATTGATAACATAATCAGCGCTTTCGGCGGTAGGGCGGGTCGTGGAAGATGGATCACGTGACCTCTAAATCCCATGATTGGCTGGTCCTAGGGCTGTGGCCCTCACCCACTAATCCACACACAGCCGTGCAGTCGGGGCTCGCTTAACCCCCTTCGCCTGCGATCCATCCGACTTCGTTGTGTGCGTTGAACTTGACTCCAACGACAACAACCGCCGACAACCATCCAACCTTCCTTTCCACAAAGGTGACAGAGCAGGATGTCCTCTTTCGAACCAGTGGTGCGTTTCCTGAAATCCCCAACGCTTTGCATGCCATGCCATCGATCTCGCCCGTCACCTCTCAACCCTCAAATCTCAAATCTTCAACATCTTCAACTTTGGCGTGGAACAACCGGAAAGACTGTGAGCGCTGACTGAATCTATCTGGAATTTAGGTCGTCATCGACGGCAAGGGGCACCTCCTTGGTCGCCTGGCCAGCACTGTCGCCAAGCAGCTGCTTAACGGCCAGAAGATCGTCGTTGTGAGATGTGAGGCCCTTAACATCTCCGGCGAGTTCTTCCGCGCGAAGCGTACGTTCAACCCTCTCTCGGTTTCTTGCATTATGTCCGGTGATCGAAGAATATTTCGATGGAACAAGAGGAGGATATTTTACGAATTTCGCGACACAATACATTGGAGGACATGTCCACGACAGTCTGTGGCGAACATACCGCTAACTTGGCCTTTTTTCGTCGACCTACAGTGAAGTACCACGCCTACCTCCGCAAGATGACCCGTTTCAACCCCACTCGCGGTGGTCCCTTCCACTTCCGCGCTCCCTCCCGCATCTTCTACAAGGCTGTCCGCGGCATGATTCCCCACAAGACTGCCCGCGGTGCTGCCGCCCTGGAGCGCCTGAAGGTCTTCGAGGGTGTCCCCCCTCCCTACGACAAGAAGAAGCGCGTTGTCGTTCCCCAGGCCCTCCGTATCCTGCGTCTGCGCCCCGGCCGCAAGTACTGCACCGTTGGCCGTCTCAGCCACGAGGTTGGCTGGAAGTACCAGGACGTCGTTTCTCGGTATGTCTCACTCTACCACATCCTACTTGGAGTGGAACTCGTAATATTGCGTTTGACATGATTCTAACTCTATTTCACAGTCTCGAGGAGCGCCGCAAGGTTAAGAGCAAGGCTTACTACGAGCGCAAGAAGGCCGCTCGCCGTAACCTTGCCAAGGCGGAGCAGGGTGCGAACGTTGACAGCAAGACCAAGAGCCAGCTCGCTCAGCTCGGCTACTAGATACCTCATAAAGAGCGGCCGGTTGTTGTGTGTGACGGATCTGGGTTGGGATCGCGAACGGTTTTGTTGCAGCGAACTTGAACGGCAAGCCGAGATCGACCTTTTTCTATTGGGCCTGGGACCCCCGTCTGTATCGTGTTGTTTTCATCCTCTGTGAATACCACTGCCCTTGACTGGGTCGTGACGGACATGGGATCGAGAATGATGATCTGGCGGGGGACTTGCTGGGTTTCTTCGGAAATTCTCAAAAGCAGAAAAAACGGAGTCGCGGGATGAAAGGTTGTCTAAAATAGCTGGCTGTTGTCTCGCGCCGTGCGGTTTAATCCAAAACAAATTTTCAAGAGTTCACAAAGAGTTTCAACATGATCTTATGACGATGCAGGTTATATTTTTTTCCCTTCTACCTCGCGCGCACCTTATTCCCGTTTTTTTTCTGTATTTCGTTGTAGACATTGGCTGAACCTTTACACCCGACACCATCCTAAGTTGGCCCATCGATTTAGTATCCTATGACGCTTTCGCAGTCTTATTACTCGAGCTTATCTAACTGCTATAAATTGGGGCTCCATCCAGCAACCCTACTTGTCTCCACACAATCTAAAAGTGTCCAGATCCGAAGCCCTAATGATGCTCACATACCACGGTCGTGATCGGTACTAGCTGTTCGATTACAGGCATCTTTTCTGGCTCAGAGAACATCTACGTCGGTCTTGTCTTTCTCATTCACCTAGATAATTCTTTCCGCTGTAGAGGCTCCATATATATCCAACCTGTTTAGAGCCACTGCTGGACGAGTCCAGGACACTATATATAACCACGAGGCTACCTACCGGTAGATAGAGGAATCTTCGACAAAGATCTACGTTCAACATCATCTGTTCGTCGACTAACCTAATACCGACCCATCTACCACATTTAGCAATGAATAGCAAAATCGGCAGGAAGAGACTGTTGGCTCTGCAACTATTGACTAGCGTCTAATGAGGAAAAAGATCTTGCTTCGACACGGATGAATTACCGCGTCTGTAGCCTCGAATCTAAGGTTCCTGTCTTCTACGGCTCTAAATATACTCGGTGAATAGAATCTCAAGGCAAAAATTTATCTTATTGAGTGGGAAGATATGGGATAGACTCCCAGATGCGCTCGAATACTGGCTGCCAATCTCTACTCGCTATTTGCATATATTTGCTGGAAGTAATTCAGCAGAGCGTATATTACAAAACACCAGAGGATACCTAATACTAAAATTCTCATTTAATGTGCTTGAGGGTCGCCAGACTATAAAGTCTTTGGGGAGCCCTCCCTGTATGTAATGAGGGTTCGGAGCAGACTGGTCCCCGCATGGTGGGATGTTCAAACTCCAACGAGACCCACTTCCAACATCCGACGGAGATGAGGTCACCCAGCTCTTAAATTCTATGATTAAAGATATCACAGGTCAACTTCCAGTTGAGCGCCTGATTCGACCACTCAGAATTCCCTGACAATATGTCCTGCCCTCGAAGACTCAATCTTGGCATCATCGGTGCCGGTGTACGAAACCTCTCCCTGGACCTTGAACATGTGGCTAATGGTATTCCGTTCAGGAGGTCTTCCAAGTCTGCCACGGGCCTTGCCTCTTGCTTTTATCGCACCTCTTTAAGATTGAATCTATCTGCGATCTATCCCCTACCACGATAGAGCACTGCGCGATCAAGTTCAATGTCCCGAACAAGACCACCACGCCGCAAGAGGTGATTGACAACCCAAACGTCGACACAGTCTTCATCCTTACCTCGGATGAAAGCCATGCTCCGCTGGCTATTGCCAGTCTGAAAGCGGGCAAGAATGTCTTTATCGAGAAACCAGTATCTCTGTCTCTCCCTTCTATGGAATCCATCATCGACGCCGAGAAGAATGCACCTGGCGGTGCCCGAGTCTTCGTGGGTTATATGCGTCGCTATGCCCCAAGCTTCTTGCAGGCCTTTAAGCGAGAGATTGCTACTATCCCGAAAATTCTGTATGCACGAGTTCGCGACTTTAGCGGACCCAATGCGCAATTCGTCAACCAAAGTGGTACTTTCCAGGTCAAAGGTTCTGATTACCCTCCCGAGGCAGCAGAGGAGCGCAACATACGCTTAGAAGCTCTCTTTGCAGAGGCATTCCCGAACGAAGAGATCACGGATGAAAAGCGCAAGTTTTGCCGCTTCTTGGGTAGTCTTGGGTCTCATGACATTTCTCTCATGCGTGAAGTTCTTGGGTTCCCCCAGAAGGTCGTTGGTGTGTCTGTAAATGATCCCTTCTACAACGCCATCATGACTTTCCGCAACCAAGATGGCTCCACTTATTCGACCACCTATGAGAGTGGTATTGATGGGGTTCCAGTCTTTGACGCCCATATTGCAGTGTACGGAGCTAACAAGAGAGTGACAATCAAGGTGTGTGGCCTATCCATGATTGATCGTTATTCCAAAGGAGAGACTGACTCGTACCTATAGTATGACAGCCCTTACGTCAAAGGGCTGCCGATCTATGTTGAAGTGGAAGAGCCGAACGAGCATGGAGAGATTCAGCAGCGGACTATGCTATCTTCGTACGAAGATGCTTATACAGCCGAGCTTCAGGAAATGTATGAAGCATTTGTGCATGGAAAAGCCATCAAGACCAATGTCGAAGATGCCAAGAAGGATCTTGAGATCTACAATATGATGTACAAGAGTTGGAGCGGGAACTAGCTACCCCAAAGCGCCCTTCGCATCTAAATTTACAATTTAGAAAGGGGTTTGATCATTCTATTTTTCCGGGCTTTCTGATACACCTGTCCCTCCATTTGTCCGGGCTATATAGCCTCGGGTATCCCGTACATACATAGATTCCAATTGTCCGAAAAGAAGCCATTTTTGACTGAGCTCCAGGATTGGATATAGCAACGCCATAGTCGGGCAAACACTTCCATCATTTCACATTGTTCACCTTTCGGACCCGGCCTATACCTTAACCCTGAACATGAATCCTGTAAAGCATGCTGGTACTTGGATCTTACACTCCGACACTACTCCCAGCCGCGATGATTCCCGACCCGCTTGTGAAGATGATCGGCCCGCACGCAATAGCGGCGGCCCCGAGGTTACCCTACCCGCCTGACTAACCCAGACTGTTTCCCCGCATTTCTCCAACAAGTTGAATCGGATTTACATTGGCATATTTCCCCCGTTCCTCCCTTCCGTTGCATAGACCTACAAAGCAATTCGCTCGTGTAGCAACGATACCGTGATTTCCTCCAATAGACACTCTCCACACATATATCATGTCCGGCGTTACGTCGCGGCTATCTGGCCTGCTGGGCCATTTGACAGGGTCTCCGGCACCAGCTCCTTTCGAGCATCGCATCAACCATCACACGCTCTCACCGACATTTTTTCTTCCTCGAGCGGCAGCAATTGAGCCTAATGTACGTTTTATCGGATTGATTTTATCTCGGGAAATTTCATTTATACAACAAGACTTGTTCTACCTTCTTGGGTTCGCTGTTGGAAACCAGGCCGCTGACCGAGGAGAATTAATCCAGGCCGAGGCAATTTACCATGTCACCGCCAACAACAAAGTTCTGCGTCGAAATTACAGCGAGACTGCAGATCGCGCACGCGGTTTGGCATATTTCTTGAAGAAAAAGGGATTCCGCAGAGTCGGAATTCTTTGCCCAAATACCCCGGCGTTTTTGGAATCGATATTTGGCATTGCCGCGGCCGGTGCGGTCAACGTTGGTACGTTCCACAACATGCAAAAGCGGCTGATCAAGGGAGAATACTGGCTAACACGGCCGGGGAACATTCAGCTGTAAACTACCGCCTGAAGCAAGAAGACATCGCCTACATCTTCGACCATGGCGATGTAGACGCGATCATTGTCGATCAGGAATTCGTCCCCCTCATTGAAACCTACCGGTCGCAACATCCCAATGTTCCGATTATCGTGGATACCGATACCGATGCCACCGAAGGCGAATTGACGGGTCCCTTTGACAATGCAGTGCTAGAAGGCTTGAAGCATGACTCGGAGACGGGAGCACAGGGCTGGGCCGGCCTCGAAGCGCAAGCTGCCGATGAAGAATCTTTAATTGCATTGGCATATACCAGTGGTACTACTGCTAGACCCAAAGGTGTTGAATACACCCATCGCGGTTGTTACCTGGCAGCTTTGGCTAATATCATCGAGTCTGGTTTGAATTCCCACCAGGGACGGGCCAAGTACTTGTGGACATTGCCTATGTTCCATGCAATGGGTTCGTGAACTGGCCCCATACATCGTGTTCTTACACCCGCTCCGATAACTAATGGGTTTTATAGGATGGACCTTCCCATGGGCAGTTACCGCGGTTCGTGGCACACACTATTGTCTCCGCAAGATTGACTACCCCGAGATTTGGCGACTACTGAAAGAAGAGCATATCAGCCACTTCAACGCGGCACCGACAGTCAACACGCTTCTGTGCAATGCGAAGGAAGCCGAACGGCTTCCCGAGCCAGTGCGTGTCACTGTGGCAGCTAGCCCACCCACACCTCACCTTTTCGAGCAAATGACCGACCTGAATCTCCATCCGGTGCACGTTTACGGCATGACCGAGACCTATGGGCCAATCACCAAAGGTTACTACCTTTCAGAGTGGGATAACATCCCGTTGAAAGAGAAATACCAGAAGATGGCCCGGCAAGGCCATGGCTTTATCACCAGTCTGCCCGTGCGGGTCATTCAGACCGAGGGGCACGAAGAGACGATCACCGACGTCAAGCGAGATGGCAAAGAGATCGGTGAGATCGTGTTCTTTGGAAACATTTGCGCCAAGGGATATTATAAGGACCCCGAGGCGACTCGGAAGCTCTTTGCAGGCGGGGTGTTGCACTCGGGAGATCTGGCTGTTTGGCATCCCGATGGTGCAGTCCAAATTCTAGATCGTTCCAAGGATATCATTATTAGTGGTAAGGGGTCCAGTCCATCCACTAACAGCCTGGTGTTTGAGTTGTGCCTTATTCACTAACTGCATAATTAGGTGGCGAGAATATCTCATCCGTGGCATTGGAGTCGATGCTCGCCACGCATCCCGACATTCTCGAGGCCGGCGTCGTGTCTGTCCCGGACAGCCACTGGGGAGAGCGACCGAAGGCATTTGTTACAGTCAAAGAGGGCAAGAGTCTAGAGGGAGCCGATGTGATCAACTGGGCTCGGAATGCTAGTGGCATCAGCAAGTTCATGATCCCACGTGAGGTCGAGATCGTGGCGGAGCTGCCCAAGACCAGCACGGGCAAGATTCGAAAGAACGTGCTGCGCGAGTGGGTGAAGGGATCCGACCGAAATCTTGGGAACTGATATTTGTAAGACCATAGCGACCGATAGAATTGCCAACTCTTTTGACAGAGGAGATTTGCCGTGTTTATAATGAGAACCGGGAACGTGAGAAGAGCACAAAGTAGGAAATCACTGCTTTGGTAAGCCATTCCCATCCGGCGGGATCGTCATCATCAGCTGCAACTGCACGGGACCCCATCAAGCGGCCTCGTTAGGGTTCACGTCGGGCGTAGTATACTGCGGTAGTATAACCCAAGCAGTACCGTAGCAATAGACGCAGAATATCTTTTCCATCTTCTCCCATCCCTGATGAATTAATAATCATTTCGCCCCTCCCCCCATCTTATCACATCGATAAGCAACTGGCTTGGCGCCGACTCTCCGCGCTTGTGAGACCGGCCCCATTTGCCTCATTCCCCTCCATTGCCGCCTGCGTCCCTTTTACGCACACTCGCCCTTCAATCCAGTTCCCCCTTGGGATCTTCAAGGGGCTTGCAGGCCATGCGCTGACTAGTTCTCACTTCTGATCTGACTTTTGCGACGCCCATTCTTTCTCAGTTCCTACCCATCTAAGCCATCGTCATCCGGGAACGTCTAAGCGCTCCGAGCCTCAGCTCTCAGACTTACCACTCGCGTCACCTCCTGCCCCATCACATCACTCGACAAACGACACCCACCCTTCCAATATTCATCGCATCCCTTACAACGGGCTGACCGAGTACTTGATCGGTATCAAAAGGACTGGCTGCTATCTGTCGGCCCGCATCCTGCCCGATCGAGACTGTGAAGATCCCAAACTACAAACTCTCGTCCGTCCGTTGCCTCACACACAGAAAACAACAATATACTTTCCGCTCATGCAACCACCGCCCTTCACGAAGTAATGAGATTTCACCCTTACGACGACCCGAAAAGAAAATCGAATTGGACCTCGAGTACCGACTCCTCCCCGGCGGCCAAGATGCCTCCTCGCCCTCGCCCCTCCGCTCGACTCTCGAGCGAAGCACCCTCCGAAACCTCCTCCTCGACCTCCCCGGAACGCGCTGCAGACGATGATACCGATTTCTTCATGGCTCAGGCCAACGACTCCCAGTCGTCGATTGGTGTCGCTACGTTCCGCGACCTCCACGTCCACGCGACTCGATCTGCCCCAGTGCCACCGATCGGCCGCCTCCCTCCCGAGATCTTGATCGCGGTCTTCTCTAAGCTTGCGTCGCCCGCCGACATGCTGAACTGCATGTTGGTTTGTCGAAACTGGGCTTCCAACAGCGTTGGGATTCTGTGGCATCGCCCCTCGTGCAACAACTGGGACAACCTCAAGAGCGTTGCGTCATCCGTGGGGCAGCCTGATAGCCTCTTCATGTATGCAGATCTCATCAAGCGGCTCAATCTGTCGGCGTTGACCGAGGACGTCAGCGACGGCACGGTGGTCCCATTTACACAGTGCAAGCGAGTGGAGCGGTTGACATTAACAAACTGCTCGAAACTGACAGACAAAGGCGTGTCAGATCTGGTGGAGGGTAACCGACATCTTCAAGCACTGGATGTTTCCGACCTCCGATACTTGACCGATCACACTCTATACGCAGTAGCAAGGAACTGTCCGCGTTTGCAAGGCTTGAATATCACAGGATGTTCCAAAGTCACGGACGATTCGCTGCTGGCCGTCGCGCAGAATTGCCGTCACATTAAAAGGTTAAAACTGAACGGCGTGTCTAACGTCACTGATCGATCGATCCTTTCATTTGCAGAGAACTGCCCAGCAATCCTGGAGATTGACTTGCATGACTGCAAGCTGGTGACTAGCCCGTCGGTTACGGCGTTGCTTACTACGCTGCGCCATCTACGGGAGCTGCGACTGGCACACTGTGCGGAGATTAACGACTCGGCATTCCTCAACCTACCCGAACGAATGACATTCGATAGCCTGCGCATTCTCGATCTGACGGCTTGCGAAAACGTCAAAGATGACGCCGTTGAGCGGATCGTGAGCGCTGCCCCTCGCCTCCGAAATCTGGTATTGGCCAAGTGCCGCTTCATCACGGATCGCTCAGTGTCTGCCATTTGCAAACTGGGCAAAAATCTTCATTACGTTCATCTGGGCCATTGCTCCAACATCACCGACGGCGCGGTCATTCAACTGATCAAGTCTTGTAACCGCATTCGCTACATCGATTTGGCTTGCTGCAATCGCTTGACCGATCTCAGTGTACAGCAACTGGCGACTTTGCCTAAACTTCGCCGTATTGGCCTGGTCAAATGCCAAGCTATCACAAACCAAAGTATTCTTGCTCTGGCCCATCCTCCTAGAGCCAATCACCCGATGGTCAGCAACCTAGAGCGGGTCCATCTCAGTTATTGCGTCGGTTTGGACATGAAGGTACGATCCTTCCCGCCCTTCAAGCCGGGCATACACTTCTGGCCTTGACTATCTTTTACTGACTACTCATTCAGGGAATTCGCCCTCTGATCAACAACTGCCCACGACTGACACACTTGAGCTTGACCGGTGTGCAAGCATTCCTTCGGGAGAACTTGACGGCATTCTGTAGGGAAGCTCCCCCCGAGTTCACCCAGCAGCAAAGAGACGTCTTTTGTGTTTTCAGCGGTGAAGGCGTGACTCGGCTCCGCGAGTACCTGAATCGAGACATGTCTCATCCCGAAGAAACCGAAGCCACCATGTACGACGATGACGAAGAACTGGACGAAGATGAGGGCCAGATGACCGGTCTAATGCATGCCACCGGCATCAATGACGAAGAATACATGGATGTCCCCTCTCAATGATACGATACCCACTTCCGCTCTCTTCCTTTTTGTTTTGTTTTTGGGCCACAGCCATTCTATCACCAGCTACTATTCTCTTCTCCTTGTTTCGCGTCCCTGTCGATCTAAACGGGAGGCCCTTCACTGTGATTTGCATCCTCTGCTTTTTGTCTTGACCATCCCTTTGGCCTCGTTTTCTCCGTCGGGCCTGGCGTCAGGAACACCGAGCAAGCTGTCATATTTCTACCCATATGAGCGAAATTTCCCTCCACCCTCCGATGTCTGTTATTCTGGGAAATGCATTGTCCGGTAGCGATCACGGCTTCATGCCCTTTATTCCATGTCTTATCTACTTAGGTATTTTTTGAATTACATTGCATTCATGCACTTGGTAAAAGGGCTCGTGGGTGACATCAAAATCGTACTCGCAATGCAGGGGGCTGGTGTCGTGCAACCTCATTGTAACCTTAGCTTAAGCGTACATCACCGTGAACTCCGAGAGCTGCCCCCCGCATTCCACTTCTCCTCTCCAACTCTCCCACTTTCACGCCCTCGCCCTCGACCGCTTGATTAGCTTCGACCTTCCCCGGCGATGGCTCCTCCTAGGGCCAGAAATCCCCTGGCCTTTACGCCGTGGCCGGTGACCATCATCACCACCGCGGTGTTTCTCGCCCTGATCATCCCTATTCTGGTCATCCACCTGAACGTCCCGGCCGCACCCCGAACCAGCCCCGAAGGATTGAACCTCACCGAGGCATGGCAGGACCTTCAGGCACTCACTAAAGGCTATCACCCGTATAACTCGCATGAAAACGACCATGTTCGCGCGTGGCTGCTCGCGCGAATCGACGCGATCCAGCGATCCACCCCGCCCGCCGAAGCTTATCGGCCGGACGAGGAAAAGCCCGATGTTTTCGTCTTTGACGATCTCACCTCGAACCTGACTTTCTTCGACCAGCGCAGCGGTGTGTACTTTGAAGGTACTAATATCCTCGTTTACATCCGCGGTTGGGAAGATGCGAAGGAGAACTGGTGGGAGACACCGGGGAAGTCACCCACCGGTAAGGGCGGAGTGCTGGTCAACGCGCACTACGACAGCGTGTCAACTGGCTACGGAGCCACGGATGACGGCGTCGGTGTCGTGACATGCCTGCAGCTGGTCAAATACTTCCTCTCGCCCGGCCATGCGCCGCGTCGCGGCCTGGTGGTGCTGTTCAACAACGGCGAGGAGGACTACCTGAATGGCGCCCGTGCGTTCAGCCAGCATCCGATGGCCAAGTTCGCCCATACATTCCTTAACCTGGAAGGTGCCGGTGCTGGTGGTCGTGCGACCCTGTTCCGCAGTACGGATACGGAAGTTACCCAGGCGTATGCAAAGTCCAAGTACCCCTTTGGATCTATAGTTAGCGCGAATGGGTTCGAACTTGTCGGTAGCCAGACTGATTACGTCGTCTTTGATGGTGAGATGGGATTGCGCGGACTCGATGTTGCCTTTTACGAGCCGCGCGCGAGATATCATACCGATCAAGATGATGCGCGACACACCAGTTTGGACTCTCTGTGGCATATGCTGTCTGCGGCGGTTGCTACCACTGAGGATCTTGTTTCTGACGATACTGACCGGTTCGACGGTCGGGCTCGCGATGATGGCAACGTGCCCAATGGTCAAGGTACAAAGGCTGTTTGGTTCGATCTGTTCGGCAGCGCATTCGCTGTCTTCCGTCTGCATACTCTTTTCGCCCTGTCAGTCACCCTGTTGATTGTGGCACCTTTGACTTTGCTCCTTACTAGCATTGCCTTGTCTCAGGCAGATAAGATGTATTTGTTCCGATCCTCGGTGCAGTTGGAGACGAGTGACGAAAAGGTCCCACTTCAAGGCCTTCGAGGATTCTTCCGGTTCCCATTCTTGATCGGAATTCCTACCGCTGCCATTGTCGGCTTTGCTTATATGCTTGCAAAGGTCAACCCGCTCATCATACACAGCAGTACCTACGCCGTGTGGAGTATGATGATCTCTGCATGGATTTTCCTTGCCTGGTTCGTGTCCCGCGTTGCGGATTTCGCCCGGCCATCTGCCTTCCACCGAGTGTACACTTACACGTGGATATTTGTGATTTCCTGGGCTCTGTTGGTTCTCGCCACCGTTCTCGAGCATGAGCGTGAGTTGGGTGGTGGCTACTTCACACTTTTCTACTTTGCGGGCGTCTTCTTGGCCACGTGGATTTCTTACCTTGAACTCTTCTCCCTTCCGAGGAAATCAGAGTACGTTGGTCAGATTGCTCAAGACTCACGGCAACCAAGCAGCTATGGTAGCCGACTTGGCACGGGCGACGGGAACGAGGATGAAGAAGAAGCAGCCGACGAGGAGCCCACAGAGTCAACGTCTCTGCTGCGTGGTCAACAGCGCACTACGTTTGCAAACTACGTCAACGTTCCTGGTGACTACTCCACCAGCCGAGGGCTTGATGAGGAAGAAGAGAAAGATCCAAACGTCTATGGAAATGAGCAAGCATGGAGTGCATCAATGCCCAGCTGGACCTGGGTGCTCCAGCTTCTTCTCACCGTTCCTATAACTATCACTCTTCTGGCCCCTCTATCTTTGATCATGACTAGTGCTCTGTACCAAACGGGCCAGGACGGTGATCCTACGTTGATCGTCTACCTGCTCATGACGCTCTTCATCACGTTGATCCTCACTCCGATTCTGCCATACATCCACCGTTTCACCTACCACATCCCGATCTTCCTGTTCTTGGTCCTCATCGGCACTCTCATCTACAATCTGGTCGCCTTCCCCTTCTCCGACTCCAACCGCGTGAAGCTCTACTTCTCGCAACAAGTCGACCTGGACCGAGGCAACTCTACGGCCTATCTTGCTGGTATCAGCCCCTTCGTTGAAGATGTTGTCCGTGGTCTACCCAACGCAGATGGCCGGACAGCTTGCAAAACCTTTGTCAGACACGGAAAGCTCTTGCAATGTTCTTGGCCCGGCGCCGAACCGCACGTTGTTCCCAGCAACGACACCTCTGCTTCATCGCCTGGTCCTTCGGTGGACTGGGTCTCTTATAGCGTCTCTCGTCCCGAGAGCAGCACTCGCTCTGTCCGCTTTGAAGTTTCGGGTCTGAACACCCGCACTTGTCGTATCACCATGGACCGCCACCCCATCAAAAGCTTCAGTGTCGTCGGATCCTCCGCCCTCGATAAGCGCTTCATCAAGCCGGCTGCAGATGGAATGCAAGAGATTCGTCTTTGGAGCCGCACATGGGATGGCTCGTGGACTGTAGATGTTGAATTTGACGAGCACGACGTCTCAGCTGAAGAGAACGGTTCTCTCAAGGGTCGCATTTCGTGTCTCTGGAGTGATGATAACAACCCTGATCTTATCCCGGCGTTGACAGAAGCCAGACAATATACTCCTGCATGGGTTGCTTTGACCAAATTGGCCGACGGCTTGGTTGAGGGGTATCGCGAGTTTGAACTTGCATAGGTTGAATCTGGGGCCTGGGAGCCGAAAACAACCGAGTAAAGTCACTTCTATTGACCATGGAGTCAATCTTGAGTCTTTCAATTCTCTGCGGGCGTTATTATCATGCTCTTTGTGTTTTTCTCCATCGTTACTCAAGTCCGGGGGCTGTCTGATGTATTCTGTGTATGCACTATCATGCCCATAACACCATAATCATTCCAATTGATCTCGGCAATTTGGTATTGACCTCGCAATCCAAATGATAGTCATCGAATCGTCCATTCTGTAGCGAATAGCTCGTTCACATCACAGTGCAAGAAAAGGTAGCAGCCACTGCGGACGAAATCACTCCTCCAGCCACATTTTTAGCTATGAATTTAATAAAATCCTTCGTTCGGAATTTTGTCAGAAATCCCTGGTCTCCGGATATAGTGCGAGTATACTTGATGACATCGCTAGTGACAACCATCAAATTAGGATACTGAGCCAGAACATCCAGAACATGTTTTTCGACCAAGGCACTAGCTCTGATATGCACGATTCCATCCGCAAGGGCGACGAAGAATTCATTAGCTCGGTAGGGATTCAGCGCAGCGAACTAACCATGAATCAGCCCATTACTTCCCCGAGGATGGTTTTCAGTAAATGGCCAAGAAACGCATACCACCAGATCACCCTGTCGAACCCGTTTGAGTATCTTTAGGAGTCCAGGATACTCGTCACCGAGAGACCACTTCACCGAACCATCGGTGAAAATGGCCACATAGGTATCGTCAATTCCGAGGGAACACAGTTTGAATCGCCCGGTTTCGGTACTCATATCCCGGTCAAGTTGCCGGGAGACCCATTGACACCGTCCTGTCCTTTCACTGGTGACGAAGTATTCGCCGAGTATGGGGCCGAATTGGACTCGGCAGTTGACGTCTCCTTCTTTGGCGCAGAATCTCTGCAGTGGGAGGTAGATCGGATTGAGGTGTGATTCGCATACTTGTGGGGCCTTTAGAATCAACTTCTTCTTGGTCTTGGGGGTTACTACCCACTACTTACCGAGCGATCGATTATCTGAAGTCCAAACCATGAAGATATTGTCATGCGCGTCAGACGATAGATGCTTTATTGCTTTGATGGGACGGTTTTCTGTCCATTCGTAGTAGTTTTTTGGCATGCGCTGGCTGGATATCGTTGAGCAGGACGCGATATCCGTTGCTGGTCACTTTCAAACTCACCTACAATGCCCCTCGGTGTGATCTAGGGTGTAGGTACCCGGCTTCCCGAAGGAGAAGTATAGATCGTACACTGACATGATGAGAAGACAAAAGCGGGGCACCAGCGTTGTTTGTCCGTTGGAAGGAATATCTAGCCTTTTGCACTGAGATATTCAAGGGATGAGGGTCAAGGAGGGGGCTTGTTGATCCTCTTATGCCCGACTTTCGTGGGTCTGCCTCCAGGTCGTGGAGATGTCATGCATGAAGCTCCGCATTTCGGCACCAAGGTATTAATTCAAAAGCGTATCTAGAAACACTTTTTCCAAACTCCTCAAGAAGCGGAGTATATCATATTTAGATTTGGACAAATGCGTGAAAGCTTTCCTGGCGATTTCCCATCGTTGATGACCTGCCACAAGGCCCGAGGTCATGCGGCCCGAACAAGACTCCTTCCGTTTAGGTAGTACTAGCATGAGCTGTAGTGATCATCAGGGGTCCCTTTCGAACGACATCATATGGGTCAGTACCAACTGTCTTGTTACACAGCATACTGCGCCCCGTTTCAAGACTTGACTCATTCGATCCTTCCATAATGATGAGGTGTGAGGAAGCATGTGCAAGTGCTGACTTCTTCGAGGGTCCCCTAGAAAACTGGCCATACATCTCCAGAAGGAGAAATTAAGACGCAGTGTAACCATCACGATACGGATGCGGCTCGGGGAATTTTGCATGTGTCTGTATCAAACAGCCGCCATTCAACTCCATGTAGGCAGTCAAGTCAAAATCTTTCGGGAAAATACCTTCATTTTACGAAGCGGATGGCGTCGCTCAAGCTTTGAGACCGGTTTCTACCAGCTTGGAAGCTATTACGTTTAGACAGAGTTCCCCGTTGCCAAACTCATGCTCCTGTATGGCCTGGGATGCAGCTCATGCATCCTTAGGTATCACAATGACGATATCTGTTCGGCCGGTGCTGTGAATTGACCGTCTCCATGATGGGTAAGCACATGCGATGGGATCCATGGAAGTAGACGAGGGCTATCCAAAAGCTGATCAGACTGAATGTTGAAATTACTTTTAGATACCTCCAGTGATTAGAAGGTTCAAAGATATTGAATATAGGCCGGCTAGGAAATCTTCTCACTCGAGGCCTTTAAACTAGAAACCCTCGCAGGACTCTCAAGTTTATAAGAAGAAATTGACTCAAATAGTCATTTTGATCAAAGATGCCCCACATATAGATACAGTAGGGTGTTCATCTCCCTGCTAGGCATCTCTATTGATAGGCCTTATTCCTAGTCACAGCTAGGAAAGTCAGCGACCACAATTGCCGAATATCGGATTCTGCATCATCATCAAATTAGTACAAGGTTCCTTTAAAAAAAAAAGTACCTACCAGAGGGTACTTTTAATGCAAAAAAAAAAAAAAAAAAAAAAAAAAAAAAAAAAATTACCAGTCTGCGAACCACCACCAGGTGCCGGCAACACTCCCAAAGGCGTAACCTGGAAATCACCATCCCGATAAACCCACGACCAAACCTCCCCAGAAAGTTGACTCTCATTTTGCTCAATCGAGTCCCAAAGCTCATTATACGCTGCCTTGACATTCCCGTAAACAGAGTCATCTCCACAGAAATCCGGGATAGGAGCGACGGTTTCTTCCTTCTTTTTCGCTTGCCCGTGTCCACCAGAGACGGAAAAGTTGGCGCTCAATTCGCACCGGCCGAGTTGGAGCTCTAGTCCCTTTGCCATCATGGCGAGCTGCCAGGACCAGATAACCGTGCCGTGGTATGCGCCCGTAGTCCAGTTCTGTGCGTAGACGGGGTCCCCGCCGAAAGCCGGGTTTGCGACGATCATGCTGGCGGAGGTCATTAGGCCTGCCGGGAAGGTGCGGCGGATGTTGGTGGCGGAGTTGTTGAGGAAGGGGGTTAGCTGGGTGTCGTCTGTGGCGTTGATGAGGAAGTGGCGGAAACAGTCGTCCGTGTTCATGACTTCGACCTTTGTGAGGTTGTTGTTGCCATCGAGGGCGAGGGCGTGGAAGACGACGTCCTCGGTGATTGAGGCGGCTTGGTCGGGACCCGAGAAGGAGGATTGGTTCTTGTAGGATGCGACTAGTTCTTGGGCTTTGGCTTGAGGGATGGACACCTTGAAGAAGTCGAGAGTCTTATCTTCCCAGACCTGGGCGTATTTGGTGGCGAGGTTGGACCACTGCTTGTGCTTGGAGTAGATACCCTGACGGGCCAGGACGGCGATGGAGCGAAGTGCTGCTGGGATGAGGGCCGTGTTTACATCGTAGGGGATGCGTCCTCCACCAATACCTGTTGCATGATAAGTTAGATAACTTTTACTCGGCATTGCAGGCTCACGCATACCGAATTCACTGTCTCTCCATTCTCCGACCACTTGTCCATCCTTGAGATGAACCAGATTTGCCTTTGTCTGGTTCTCTGCGAAAGGACGAGCAAGACGCATGACACGCTCAGCACTAATCAGTGCAAGATCACCCCATGTCAGGTTCTGGTTCTCGGCATTGATCAATCCAGCCGAAGTACTATCTCTCGCATTAGCCATGAGATCAAAGGCAAGAGAAGAGGCTGAGATACTTGAAGAAAGCCGCAGCTCGTTTGTGTCCAACGGGGTTATCGAAGAAATACTTCTGCATCAAAACAGGAAGATAATAATCCGTATCGACCTACAATTTCGTCAATAAAAGAATCTCTGCCGCATAGTGCACCACTGCGTCGTAAAAAGATACTCACCATCTTATAGTCGCAGACCATAGCATTACTCGTGATGTTGTTCTGCAAATTCGTCCACGTCGCATAATCACTGTAGTAATCAGCATCTCCAATCCAAAGGTTGCAATCTCAACACCCCATGATGAACCCGACAAACTCACCCAATAGTCTCCTCATGACAGACACTACCATCAGTACGGTTCACTCGCTCCAACACAGCCCCGATAACAGCTTCCATAGCACTTCCATTTCCCGAGCTGAGCACGGGCTCCAAAAGCAGCGCCGAGATCATCGAGTCGCGTCCAAAGTACGTCAAGAAGCGCCATGCACCAGCCAGCAGCTTCTCTGAATACGACAGGAATGACAGTGCATCGACCTGGCCCGGGTTAGTCGTGGTCAGATTGCTCGATGCACTGTTCAGCACTGATGATGACTTGAGAGCCGTGAGTTGCGGGTAGTTCATGGACGCAGAGATAAGGTAGTCACCAGCCGTGAAGGAGAGTGTGCGGTTGAAGACGGTCACATTTCCGCTCGTGCCGTTTGGATACGGGGTAAAGGTGAGCGATGTAGAAGTGACATTGTCCAGCCAAGTACGCTGCAGCGAGGCGCTACCATTGTCATACGCGATGAACTGGATGGCATCCTGGATCTCGGAATGGAGGAGACTAGGACCCTCGACAAAGTCGCGGATAGTACGGATACTACCCAGGATAGGGACTGTCAGTGTGGCAGAGGAATTGAAGCGTAACACGCCCTGGACACCGACGCTCGGGTTTGCGGAACTGTTTGATACAGCCGTGTATACGGGACCCAGGGGCTGGCCAACTGTGGAATTGACCATCTTAATGGACAAGGTGCCATTGGCGCCATTCTGAGGCGCAAAGTATGCACATACGCCGCTGTTACCTGCGGGCCAGGCTACGATCAGCCGGGGGCCGATGATGGAGAGGTTGCTTTGTGGAAGGGGGCTCGTGACGACAGCTTGGGCGGCGACATTGCAGTCTGAATAGAAGTAATTGTCGTAGGGCGGGTCGCTGAGTGATAGTGTCGAGGCGGTGGTGTTACACTTTGGGGCGCTAGAGCGCGCGTGGAGGCGCTGGGAGGGGAGGAACTAGTGAGCGGGATGAAGCTATTGAAAGTATGTCGGGGAGCGCCACTTACTGCGTCACCACTTTGCGCTGCGGCAGCGACGAGGCTCCCGAAAAGCGACAGCTTCAGGAGCTTATTCATGATGCCGGTTTTTCTAGAGACAGCCCTGTCTTTCTAGTAGAGATGGTAGAGAAATGTGTGGTATTTAAGCAATGCGACACGGGCGTATTGGTCATATCGACCTTCCTGAAGAAGTGTAGATGGACAAAAAGTGGGCCTGCATTGCCGTCTGCCCCCGTGGGGTTGGGGAAAGTACAAAACAGGTGGAGCTGCCAACGGCAAATGGAGGCCACACTTTGATGACCCCCGACAATTCTCCGCGCCTCTTACGTGATAGAAGACATCACCAAGAAAGCACTGCAGGTCCAGCGATATTTGAACAATGAATAGAAGTATATTGAATTAGATTCTGATGCTAGGTCAATGTGGCTCATCATGACCGGTAAACTGGAAAAGCCCGGTCTAATGTACGAGGCGCCACGCTGCTATGTACAAGTAGATCCAATGGATCAGCAGCCCAGGGACATGCCCATGCCCGGTGTCCTTATGCGGTGCGGGTGGCGCAAAGCCGATCGATCTTTCTGCCGCACATGGCCAAAGCCAGACTTTCGGGGATTCGGAGAATCGGGGAATTGGAGATTTGGTTCCTGGGAATCGGATGGCCCGCGAAGCCTCGAGAGGAAGGAGGTCCAGCGGGCGAGGACGAGAATGCGACGCACGTGGGCAAGCCCCCCCCCCAATCGGCGTATTGCATGAAGCCGCATTCCCTTCTAGTCGGATGGCGTCAGATCCAGCGGTATGGTGTTTAGGATATAATGTCTCAATGAAGGGGCGTATCTCATAAGTCGTGATTCATCAAAGAAAACGACAAAAAGGGTATCGAAAACAGAATGCATAATATTCATCATGGATGATTTCCCACCTCACCCAGGCTTCTCACATCTCTCGTCCAGTTTGGCAGACTTGCGCTGATACTGGTGAAGCGAGCTGGAGAAATTTTTGGTCTGGGGGTCTCCATTGTGAACGTAAGTGTCACTGCTCCATGAGTTGGAGGTCTCCGAGCTACCAGTCGGCGGGTCAGCTGGGGGCGAGTGTTCGAACATGGCAATGGAAATATCATCGTCCATCCAGGCGCGGACGGGTTGGGAATGTACCGGTGCCGCGTGGGTAAGATCGGAGGTGACACGGGCCGCATCGACGAAATCAGGGAGATCGTGGGGACTAGAGAAGGAATCGGGTTTCCAGACGTGGTTGTGGACCAGGTGGATAAGTTTGCCGAGGACGGCAAATTCGAGCTTCAGCTTGATGCTGTAGACCGCACCTTTAAGCATGGTCTCCATGATATAGTAATTGCGGTACTCGGCGACAAGCAAACCTAGATCCATGATGATAATTATCATGTTGATGATCAACAGCTGGTACTGAATCTTGCGCTTGCCTTGATCCGGGTCGAGGCGAATCATGCGCACGGTTTCCCAGATATAAAGACCCGAGAGAACGAACTCCTGGAGACAGAATCCGGTCATTTGAATCTTTTCCATCACGTTATATGCGGTCTTGTAGTCGTTCAAGGTGGCGCCCGCGGGTGTTAGGTTCGTGCCGTACGTGAGAACGGTGGTTGGGATGTGTAGCAGGACCGCATTGATGAGGATCATGAGAAGGACGCGATGCAGGATGCGCTGATTTGCGAGGACCAGATGCAAGCGAGAATATAGAACGAAGGACTGGCCGGTCACCATCGCCCACCATCCAACAGTTAGGAAGGTGACCGGCAGCCAAGTGGCGGACGTAAGATTGAAGAACTTGAGCAGGAAGCCAAGTGAATATGGAATGAGCCCAACGGCCGAGGAGACGAATAAGCTCCAGAAGTAGAGACCACGATACTGGGCGAAGGTGACGAAAATTAGGATCACCAGTTCGAAGGCGTTGTACCATGTGATGCCGGCGAGAGTTGCGATGGTAATTTGCATGCCCAGGGACTGGCCCGTATAGCCGCCGGTGATCCCATCACCGGGGGCAGTGTTGTTGGCCATGGCGTAATTGCGTATCACGGTGGGATCACCATCATCGATATACAATTCGGCGAGATATAGGGAGGTTGGGGATGGAGGGAATTAAGGAGACAGAAAGGGAGGGTGGGAGTAAGAGGAAAGTGCAGGAAGACTAGACGAGGACGAGGCGGGATAGAACTGGGAATCCCAATGGGGCCGGAAGGATCAGGTGAGAACGTGCTGACCCTTTTAGGTTGTAAGATTCTTGTTCAATCCCTTTTAGGGAAGAGGTCGGGGGGAGTGGGAGGGCGATCATAAAGCGGCTGATGTTGTACCAACAGGAGAGGGGAGGGTCGAGTCCCACGATGGTGGGGAAGGGACATATGTACAGACTATACAGAACGGGTTGATGAACTATCTAAGGGAAATGACACGCGAATCCGGAGGGAGTCAGCGCTGGGGCTAAGGCGGGGGACTCGCACTGGACAAAATACCCCGGACAAAGCAGATCGGAAAGTAACTAGTTCGGTCAGTCCATCCAGTGGTGGGTTGGGTTCACTAGGATTATGGAGAACGCGGCCTAGACTAGTCCGGTTTCTACGATGGGCGGTGGGCGCAGGACCTGATCCCTGCGCCGGGCCAAGAAAGCATTGTTATTGTCTGCGACGCGGTATAAGAACACCACGGTATGATCCTAGATAGAAGGAGGGAGTCTATAGAGCAACTATACTATCGTCCCCAAGAGGGCTATTCTAGATACTAGAAACCCAACAACGATTTGATAGTACCACCCTTTCTCTTCGTCTATATTCTTAAAAACCGGGTTAGCACTGTCTCAGCTCATTTCCTCCGGAGCCAAGGTGGGTCAGGGGCAAGAGCCAAAGCCAAACTGACAGCTTTAGAGTTGGCAAATAATCCACGGGAGTCCACCGATGGACTCGATACATAATACATATTACTACTCTATAGCTTTGAAGTCTAAGCATTATCATACGGTATAGCAGACTAAATCAACCATAGAATAGACAAAATCATTTGTAAATAGTGATAAGGCATTTACAAACATGAAAAAGAAGAGGGAACCCATTAGGTCTGTAATGCGCTCCCAAGCACACCGCCACCCATGATACCCCAGGCTCGTCTAATGGTTAGTAACCTGTTAGCGAGTTAATAAACCTGCCCCTCAATGCAGGGCAAAACGGCGAACGTGACTTCATCGCCATAGGTCCCCCCCCTCAGAAAACCTGTAACCCAGTCCTAGCCTCGAGTTCCCCCATCCGAGCGATTCCTCCCATAGGCTTCTCCTGGGGTGGGCGCAAGCCTCGTCCAAGCGGTCGGGGCCGCCGATCGCCCGTTTCCTCGGGGGAACAACGACGTACCAGAGGAAGGGAAAGCGCTCACGGTACGATTGCTGGCGGACGTCACTGCTTTGTCTAGGGTCAGTCGGGTGGATGTGGATGTCTCCGAGCAGAGCCTCGCATTGTTTTCGTTGATCACTCTACTCTTGATGAAATCCTATCGGCATAGACATCGGCGCCTGGTCTCCTCTGCGGGGGTGAGTATATGGACTCCTCCAATGACCGACTCACGTCCCGCCCGATGGCCTCGACTCATCGTGACTTCATCAACGGAGTTTGATATCTTCAAAGGATCTTCAAACAGGCCTACCCTACATAGCATGCTACTGTATGGGGGCTAAGCAAGTCGCTCCACCCACAGCGCCCCGCAGGCCAACGGCGACTGCGACATGAGCCGAAAGACAAGCGCGGCGTGCTGGGACACGGCTGGTGACTTCATGCTGGTTTAGGCGTGCCAGTTACATCGAGAGTACGTATATCGAGTTGGCTGTCTTATGTCTGACCTGACGGAAAACGGAGTCAATTCTGAATGAGCTATAGATATCTCGGTACAAAGTGCAAGATTATAGGCAGATCGATCCAAGAATATTTGATATCCTATATTCTCGGTTCTCACGTGTACCACCGGTGGGCCGTGGCCTCCACATGATCTTCGACTCCAGTCGAGTGGGGGGGATGGCTTGATGGTGGACGGTCGATGTGAATATGGATTTGGCTTGTGTATGGTGACAATAAGCAAGGCAAATCATCCTGTGCGACCCACTGAAACAGATGACTACATGTACACGTCTGATTATACCCCATACGGACGAAATTGTTATGGTTGTCTTGTAGGAAGGACAGTATTCGGCCCCCAAAGTGTGGCAATACCACGGTAAAGAGGAATGCGTCGGGAACATAAGGATACCTACTGCCTAGAGTATGCAACCCATATGGATGTTTAGGTGCCTAACCTCTTCAATCCGCAATTCAATTCATAAAATGTAGATGAAATCCATGAAACGCCTTGGCGCCTCGCTTGCAAATGCCGAAATCCAGAAAAAGTATAACAGAAACCACTGGTCCTCGAGTCCCGTAACTCCCAAGGCAAAATCATAATCTCTCCAATTGCGCGGCCAGGCAGGGTACCTCGCAGGCTCACCCTGGTTCTGAACGAGCCCGAGAATATCCCTGCAAGCCAAGAACCGGCACCGTCCAGCCCAGCCATCACGAACAGTGCAAAGGAACACGGTCGACATGGGAGAAGTGGGCCAGACCCAGAACACGTCCGATCCGGGATTTACTATTCTTTCCCAACGTCAAAGCCCTCCACCGCGATCAATTGACATCCCACGGCGACGATGGCGTGTCTCTCTCCAAGGTCTTGGTAACCGGTCATTCCGTAGCAATCACCACGGCCATGCGATGACGGGAGGGCGTAGAAGAACAAAAAAAAAAAAGCAAAGCTCCTCACTTCGACGCCCCATCCTCCCGATCTTCACCTCCGGCGGTTCCCCCCGTCATAGAAACCACCCGATCCACCTCCCCCCGACACTCTGGCATGGCACTGCGCATCTCCCGCGCCAGCACGTCCCGGAAATCGGCGAAAGCCTCCCGTTTCCCCTTGAGATCCTGATTCCCGCGCTGAACCAGCTCCACGAACTCGCGCGTGTAAATGTCCGGGTTGCGCGCTGCGTCGACGTACTCGATGATCTCGGGTGGGAGTTGGATGCTGGCGAGTGGGGGGTTTGAGGGGTCAGAGGTGTTGTTGGGGGTGATTGATTCGGCAGCGTTGGGGGGCAGGGTGGTATGTGTTGATAGGGTTGAGAGGGCAAGCGTGAGGTTTTTGCTGTAGCAGGAGGAAGAGGGATTTGTTAGCGTCGTTCTTTGCTTGACTTTTGTATGAGATGCGAGTGTTCTTCGTAGCGTAGAGCTTGATTGGTCCCGTTTTTGCATTCTCTGTTGAGCAGAGAGAATCCCACCGAGAGGTATGTTCTCTCACGTACATTTTGCGCACCAGCTCTTGCTGCGTCTCCGGGCCTAGATACCCATGGACGGCCGACTGGATCTCAAAGAGGTGCTGGATGACGTCTTGGATGTCGTCTGCGAGGCTGGGGGGTTAGCTTCGTGCTCTCTCCATTGGTCCCTTCATCACGTACCATCGACCGTCTTTAGCATTACGGGCGCCATGATTGTAAGAGTTGGTATCGCGTACAATGATCGGGAATCGCGACGGAGGATTTGGAGAAACGCCGGTGGGGGAAGGCGGTGTAAGGGCGGCTCATTGCTTGTTGGGTGGGGAAGAAGATGATGATCAAGTCCAAGTTGAGGTGAAGGAAATCATTGCTCTATGGCAGCTCATCTCCGACACTGAACTCCTTCATGTGCTCTCCTTTCTAAAAGGGATGGCAGAATAGTGTCCCGATCCCGTCTTCCCTGGGTGAAGGCTGCATTTCCACGTTCGAATTTGGACGAGTCGAACTTAGTAGTCGGCCTCACGACAAGACTCGAACTCCATCTATACGATACGATAGACACGTTTGTTCGGGCTCGGGCTCGGGGCAAACATTCGAGCGACGGGACTCCACCTGGCGAGGTAGAGGAGATCCCACGAGTCGTCGATCGAGGCGATGGGCCAATCAGGCACCATGATGTAGTGTCAGATTCTCAACTTTAGATCAATTCTGATCGTCATCTCAATCTATACACTGCTATAAATGCATACCATTCGCAAATTGGGGACCAGACTCCCCATCTACCAACTAGAATCCAAGAGATATCATTCTATCGTCTTCGACTGTTAATACGACATGGTTTCTCTATCGGTGATTCAATCCTCCAATGCATCTATTTCCAAAGAGCTCCCATCAGGCTTAGTGGCAGTATTCGTCGGCGCAACCAGCGGAATCGGTAGAGCGACTATCTTAAAACTTGCCAAATATGTCCAGCAACCACGATTCTATTTCGTGGGACGCTCGCAGAGCGCTGCAGATGAGATCCTAGACCAGTTGCACCAAATCAATCCAGATGGTCGATACGAATTTATCAAAGCCGACGCGAGTCTGCTCAGCGTTGTAGACATGGTTTGCGAAACGATCCGGAAAAAGGAGACACATATCGACATTCTCTTCCAGAGTCAGGGTACTTTGGACGTCAGTACAGGTATTGTGAATGATCTTACCATCCTCTATGAACCAAGGAACCCGATCACATTGTACTAACCGCAAAATAGAGACGTCCGAACGTCTGCCCCTAATCATGGCACTGAGTTACTACTCTCGCATGCGATTCATCGCCAATCTACTCCCCTGGCTACAACGATCATCCCTCGGCCGAGTCGTCACCGTCCTAGCCGGCACGAAAGAGGGACCCGTCAATCCCACTGATATCCCCGGCAAGAAGGTCCTTCCTTGGAAAGCTCGCGGACATCTTTGCTCAATGATTACCCTGACGCTGGAGCGTTCCTCCGAATTGGCTCCGGGTGTAAGCTTCGTGCACAATTACCCCGGTTTTGTGGCCACGCCGCTTGCAAAATCGATGAAAGGAGCGACGGGGGCAGTCATGAGATCGGTATTCTGGTTCACAGGCTTATTTTCCACGAAGGTGTACGTTTCTCTTGATGAGACCGGTGAGAGACACTGTTTTTTGGCGACGAGTTCCAGGTTTTCGTCAAAGACACAGTCTGGGGGTTTGCTAGGTGGGACAGAGGTTGCCATCGGTAGTGACGGGGCTGTGGGAAGCGGTGTGTATATCGTAGATGAGGTGTGTGAAAGCGGCGATGCAAATGTGCAAAATGTTTTGAGTGGGATCAGACGAGACGGGATACATCAGAAGATATGGGAGCATTTGCAGAATGAGTTCTTGAGGGTGACGGGGAAGTCGGCGATCCAGTGAAGGCATCAAGGCCGGGCGATGAGTGGCTACTTCTCGAACAACCACAGTATTGGCCCAATGGGATAGAAGCGTGGACGAAGGTGTATGGGTCACGCCCTGGGACGTTCATAAAGGCCCTACTCGAGCAGGACGACATGGCTATAGACCGCGGCAGACTCAGAAGATGGCTAAAAGCTTTCTAGGCCAATGAAACAAAGCCGAGAGAGTGGTGATTTAATGGGTTCTGGAAAAGCTCGATGGCGATTCTTGGGTCCAGGAACGAGCACCGAAGACGAAGGAGCAGATATGGAATAGGTAGGAACTCGAGAAGACGCTGCAAGAGACGGGAACAAGGGCTTTAGCCTGGGAGCCTAATGAGGTGGTATTGTGATCTGGAGCTAGTGATCGACTTACGCCAGGAAGATGAAAAACTTATCTTCCCTATACATCACTGGAAAAAAAGAGTTCCGAGTATAATTGTGAATAGAATAGTCTTACACATCTGTTTCCTTTCTCTTTCTTGCTAGAGATAAGGTTTATCGAGATAGGAGCTCGACTTGAATGAATCATATGGCACTTCTCTCTATATGCATCACCTCAACAAGACATCATACACTCCCCGCGGGCTGAACCCCCGATCTAGGAGAAACACGCTAAAGAACCGCGACACATCGAACCAGAAAACAAAACACATCTATCGACAGCGAGGAATGTACACCCCTCTCAAACCTCCCGGGTTCTAAGCTTGGGGTATTTCGGTACCTCAATTTCCGTTTCCATCTCTAGGCCAGACAGGCTTGGGAACCGCCGGCTGAAATTCGCTTCCCAGTCTTCTCCTCCCGGACTGGTCGGTGTCGCTACGGAGGGGCTGCGGTCGTGGCTTGTTAGTACAGCCCGGGATGGGTCCTGTCCGCCAACGCGCAGGTTCTTCGGCTTCGGTGGGGCCGTAGGTCGTGATGGGGGACGAGCAGATGGGTATCCTGGAGCATTGGTGGTGGTAGACTGAGATAGACCTGCAGGGGCACTGGCATCTTCACGACGGTCTGGAGGGGCCATGGTCCCTTCGCGAGCACCATAAATGGGCCCGGGGGTACGCGAGATGGGGAGCGTGCCCGATGAGGAGGGACGACTGTTACTGCCACCTGGCTTTGCCTGCAAAGCATTGGCATCGGTGTATTTCCCATACCCGGTTGCGGTCTTGGGAGCCACCGGGGGCTTGTTGGACTCCCCAATGAAATTCTGCACCCGATTCAAAATCGCGCGAGATCGATGCTGGCCGCTCCCATCGCCTTCGGCGACCCGTCGCCTATAGTCCGCTGCAGCATTGGCAACGCGTTTCTCTTCCTGGGAGAGCCGACGGCGCTCGAGTTCGCGGCGCATTTCCGGAGAGATGTCATCGCGGTCCACATCTTCCAAAACATCATCTTCATACGACGAGAGCCCCTCGTTTGGCGAAGAATTCAAAACTTCTGAATCCCCAATCAAGGACGCCTGGTGCTGAGGATTCTCTTCCGCTGTCGAAGTGGAGGACTTTTCCTGGTTTGTACTCTCGAAGCGGCGGAATGCCTCGCCGAAACGACCGGCAAACAGGGTCTTGCTTCCAGACAGTGACAGAGAGGACAAGCTTCCTCGCTTGGCGTGTTTCGCACCGCTGCTCGACCGTTTTTCACGCTTACGGTTGCTTTCTTCCTCTTCCTTTGCACGCAAATAGTCCACATCCGAGGAAATTTTGGCTCGCTCATAGTCCCGATCAATCTCCGTGCGCACCGTTCTGAGGGGAGCGCCACCTTCGTATTTCAGGTGCGAGAGATCCAGAGACGAGCGTGACGTCTCCGAGTCACGCGGGAGGTCGTAACGAGATGAAGCTTGAACGGAGACGGGGCGCGCCTTCCCGATAGCAGATTTGGATCGACCCACTGGATCAGTTGCTTCCAAACCGGACGGCCGTCGTAGGGTCTCCATGGAGGGACGCGCAGAAGTAGAGTGGTTGGACAACCGATCAGAAGACAGGCGCGGGCTGGCTTCCGGTCTCAAAGTGGCCGATGGTGGGGACGGAGCCTTATATCCTGAGAGTTTCTGTTCCTCTTCCGTCCAAGGCTGGCTGGAAGGTCGTCGCTCATCGGAAGGCGGGACGCGCCAGATTGGTCGACTGGAAATCTTCGGCTCTTGCAGACGTGGTGTTTGAGAAGGAGACGTCATCGTACCGGTAGAGATCATTGATGGCCGCTTAGGGGTGGGCTGGTATAGAGGAGCTTGCTGCCGAGTAGACACCTCTTGGGGCTTCTGTGAACGTACGGGCGAGATCTGCGAGCGCCGATCTGCAGGAGGCACTTGTCGCTCTGGCGAGGCCGCTCGTGCGAAAGCATCGTCTGCCAGCGCATTCGTGAGTCTCTGCGAAAGATCCTCATCCTCCGATTTCGTTTCCTTGACGGTTGGCTCAAACTCAAATTTGTCTCCCTTCTCGTGCAGAATATCAAACTGATCCAGCGTTGGAAATCGGTTCGACAGCTCATCCGCATTCTTCTTTGAATTTCCGTCTAATGCCGCAAATGGATCGTGAGATGACGTCTTGGAGCCACCACGGTATGGAGAAGGGCTGGGTTTGGCCGAGCTATGTGCAGACGAATGAGGCTTTCCGGGCCGGCCTCTTCGCATGGGTGCGATCTCGGGAATGATCTCGGTCTCCTGCATGGGTGGGGAGAATGTAGCGCCCACCGCAGGTGCTTCCGTTGGCGTAGGTGGTAGTTCCTGATTCCGTCGCACTTCGGAGATCGACCGATTTGAGTAAATCTAAATGCCCATCGGTCAGTATATTCAATCTAGCTATTGGGGTTACAAAGGCAGAACGAACATCTTTAATTGGCACCTCCTTCTTTTGCATGTCGCAGACCTCCTTGACCACCTCGTATATATTCGGGCGTTTCTGTGGATTCTCCTTAAGCATGATTGCTGTTGCAAGTCTTCAGTGAGCCATCTCTTCTCAAATAAGCGCTGCCCAAATCGGAATCTTACCAATCAACAACTTCAATCGATCCGAAAATTGAGGGTATGCGGGGAATTTGTAGCTAGCGTTGAGGATGGCCATTTGTCCAACCTCTTCGAATGGAGTCGTATAGTAACATAACTTGTACAAGAACACACCGAGCGCCCAGATGTCGCTCTTCTCGTCAATTGGTTGCTTCCGGTAAACGTCAATCATCTCCGGACTGCGGTATTGCATTGTCGTATGGCGCTGCACATCATCCTCGATCAAGCGACCTTCGGCAGCCGATTTAGCAGCCGGACATGGAGGCGCTGAAGATCCAAAGTCGCACAGCTTATAGATGGTCGAACCTTGGGAGCGCGAGATCAGGACGTTCTCCACCTTGAGATCTCGATGGAGAAGAGGCGGCTTGAGGTAGTGCATGCAAGCCACTCCCTCGGCCACGTCCGAGAAGATCTTGACAATCTCGGGCTCCGTCAACCGGTTCTGAAGCCGGGTGTTCATAAAGTCAATCAAACCACCACCCCCGCAATACTCCATGAGTAGAAAGACCTCGTATCCGCCGCCTTGTAATTGCGAGGCATGCGAATCGATATATCTGACAATATGCCGGTGTCCCTTGAGCTTCTTCATGGTCTCTACCTCGGTGCGCATGCTGGCCAAAGCCGACTTGTCGGGGACGGCGACCCGCTTCAGCACCGCTGTCTCCGTGCCGTTGACCGGCTGTGGCAGCCGGACCACGTAGACATGAGCGAAGCCGCCCTCGGACAGGTATTTCTCCACTACCACGCGATGACTGCCCACCTGGACCTTGGTCCCGGGGAGAAAGGTCCCCGCGGGTGCGATAACAGCGGCGACCGGGTTAAACGCGGGGAACTGTCGCGGGACCGCAGCGTGGCCCTGCTTGGCGTGGGCATGAGATTGGTAGGTAGACATGGCGGTCTGGACTGCCCTGGCAGGGCAGAAGGGGTTGAGCGAGGAGGGGGAAGGGGGAGGAAGAGGAGGGAACCGAGGCCTTAAAGGCTATCGACGCGGCATAGGAGAATGGAGAACGGAGGAGATGGATGCCTGGGAATGGGGCCAAGAGGACAGGTTGGCGGGGAGGGCGGAGTTAATTGAAGGTTGAGAGGTGGGTAGTACCTGACTACCACAACAGATAAGCGAACTAACGAGGTGCGAAACTCCGTTACTTCCAAGGAAGATGGAGAGATGGGCGATCCCAAGCGTAGGAGGAGAGCCAGAGAGCGATGGGATCTCGAGAAGCAGAACATCCAATCATCGGCGGCGGGTCACGTTTCTTCGTGCTGCTTTGGCTTCGGGACTTTTGACCCTCGAGGATCATTTACTTCCGTCATGCACTGTGGATTGTGTCCAAACGACAAAAAAAACTTTATTCTTCTCTTAAATACGGACAGGAATGACGGCTGGATATGACTCTATACTGTGGGCCACGGCTGGTGAACGCCTCAACTGGCTGTCCGGGCTTGATCAGGGTCCTGCATCGGCTGTCTCGATCATGGGACCGCATCTGACCGTTGGTAGTTGCCAGAAGCTCGACCATGAGATCTATCGTGGCTGCTGATTCTGCGACGGATGTCTTTGATACCCCTTGAGGGCTGATTTGGTCACGTTGGTCACTCTACCCATCTCCGTCGGTGACGGACTTACTCCAGCCGGATCATTGTTGACCTCTCGAGGATCACAACGGACCCACTGCGGTCGAACTATCTTTCCCCAACCGCTTGACCGCAATATCGACCCAGTTCTCTGTCCTGTCCTTCGGTAATATACACGGCGATACGATACCTCTTAGCCTCACCGAATGCCTGGGTGTCGCGCACGGGATTGATGGTGATACGTACATCGCCCTCGGGAATATATCTTGAAAACTCCGTCTGTAGAAGTAAGAAGGATTCTGCTTGACGGTTTCGCGCAGCGCAAAGAGCTGTTCTTGTAACTTGTCGTTGTTCTGTTGTGCCCAGCAACGGCGAAGCGCTGCTCTTGACTGCCTGAGGCACAAACTTCCAAGATGCCATGATGTAAGCGGCACTTTTCCCAGAACGGCAAAACCAAAACAAATACTTTGTCGGCTCAACAAGTATACCAAGTCATTTTGCTCTCTCCTCAAGGCTGGCATCCATTAAACGGAATAGTAGAGGCTCTTTAAAATGATCGTTATCTCTTTAACTCCCTGTTAGAACTCCACATTCATCAATGCGGTCTGGGCTCAAGCAAGGACCAACTGTACGTAGTCTAGACAATATACTATGTCCCTCGATGCTGTACCACTGGTTCATCCACTGATAACGAGGCCTTGGACCGCGTGGCTACCCCGAGGAATTTCACATTGCCAGACATATCAAATGCTCTCTCTGGAGGAATCTGATAGCCCAACACCCTGCCAGGCAGGTGGGGGAAAGATTCAGGCCCTTTTGTTTTGCTGTGTGTGATGGCCACGTCTTCACTGCATGGAGCCGCCGATCCTTTAGCGGCTCCCACTTCTCCTAAACAAACCCACCTTACCCCCGTAGCAACCCTCTTCCTCCGCTGCCTCGCCCCAATTCTTTGGATCCCCTCTCGTTCGACCCTGGACACAGGTGGTCCATTATATGATATCCTATTCATCGAATATCTCCCTCCCGTCGAACCGGCTTCCCGAGCACTGAGTGGCCTCGGGCCTCAGTGCAGATCTCCCACCTCGACGAACATGACCTGGCTATCGACTTACATCAACACTGAAAACCGATCCAATTAGGGTCTCATCAGGCTATCGCATCGAGGCAGTGGGAAGACCAGTCTGGATACTGGCCCCGACCAGAATATATACTGAGATACCGGAGAGAGAGGAGGTACCGGCGCGGGAGACTATCGCGAGTCTGAAATCTACGATTCCCATCGACCGAGTCGACGATTGAATCCCGATCGCATACAAACGGTTGCCAGAAAATTATCAGTCGTGATGGATGGACCACCACCCCCGCCGCCGCCCCATGGCGAAAACCCTCATACCACCGAAGGCGAATATCGCAAGGCCTCCGACATGCCGCCGGGCAACTATGACATCTTCATCGTCCCGCCTCATTCTGCAGGCTCCGGCTTCCTCTACCTCCCATCGCTGCAATGCCAACGGAACAGCTTCATTGCGGGTGCCGCAAGCACTCTTTTGGTAGTCATGATCTGGTCTGTTGTCGCACCGGTCGCAAAGAAATGGTACTTTGCAACCATGGCCGCAGCCGCATCCAGCAACAACAATGTGGGGATGATAGTGATTGCAATTGGAGTTGGAGTGACTGGTTGGGCCTTTGGCATATCCCAGACAGGCCAGTTCAATAGTAGCTCCAACGGTGGCAAGCGATTCGGCGGTGGCTTTGGGTCTTTTGGAGGCTCTGGTGGACAGAACTCCCAGAATCAATCATCCGGAGCCAACTATGGCAATGGACCCGGGCAGCAGCAGCAGCAACAACAACATGGAGGTAATGGTGGATCGGGTCAGCAACACCGACAGCAAGGAGGAGGAAATTTTGGAAGTGGACCAAACCGAGGGAATCAGTATGCTGGCAATCAACATGGTTCTGGCGCAGATTCTGCACCTCCTCCCAAAACTGATCACAACAATCATGGCCCCAACGGTGATGAGTGGGAAAAGGCGCGCGAAGAGACGAAGCGTAAGGAAGAGCTGCGCCGGAAGATGGAGGAGTTTAGGCGCAAACGAGAGGCTGAGGCGAAGGAAAAGGAGAGGAAACGAGAAAGAGAGGCGATGGAGAAGGAGTTGAAAGACCGCCGCGAACAGCTCGAGCGTGAGATGGCAGCTGCCAAAGAGAAAGCAGAGAGAGAAACCCGCGAGCGGGCAGAAAAAGAAGCTAAAGAGGTCCGCGAACGTGCGGAGAGAGAAGCCAGGGAGGCTCGTGAACGTGCCGAAAAAGAAGCTGCCGAAGCTCGGGCGAAACTGGAAAAGGCCGCCGCCGAGGCCAAAGCCGAAGCCGAGCGACGTGAAGCAGAAGCCAAGGAGAAAGCGGCAAAAGAGGCTGCCGAGAAAGCAGCAGCAGAAAAGGCCGCTGCTCAGAAGGAAGCCATGGCGAAGTTTGCTGCGCTCAAAGAAGCGGCAGCCAAGCGGTACGCTGAGAAGAAGGCGCAGGAAGCTAAAAAAGAAAAAGAGGCACCACCCAAGGCTGGAAGCGCAACCGGCACTCCTCGAACTCCCTCGCCTAAGAAACCGCCTTTTCCAACGGCCAAGACAACCATCGAAGATGACGCCTATTCCTTTCGGCCCTACGATCGTCCGCGACGACCATATGGGCAAGCATCCGGGTCATCAGCATACTCCGAGTCTTCATACGCTCCCTCTCAGTCGACAGCACGGACGACGCCTCCTCCATCTCATCGCGGCACTTACTCCACCAAGGATCCGGACAAAATCGTGATTTTGGGTGTATACCAGTTCACCAACGCGTTCATGAAGACGCCAGTGGCCCAACTAGTTTCCGGACAGGGCATGGTCACCGACGGACTCGTTCTACGGATGACTACCGAAGGCTTATTCGTTGATGATGACCTTCGGGGAGTTGGACAACGAGAATGGGACGTCAAGGCCTGGACCTTGAAGCTGGCAGAGGTATGGTGTCCTCAAATGGGGACTCCACCAGGCTCCAAGCAACAAGCCTCCACCAACCCATTCTCCTTCCGTCGCAGCGGTGCAGCGCACTCAGTGCCCACCAACGAGGAATCGGACGCATTCACTGCCAACCTTCTCAAAGTCTGTAAGAACACCTGCCGCCTGGCTTCTCCAAGTGCCGGTGCTGAATTCCGCGGTCTCCACGTTCTCCGCGCCAGTTTGCGGGATCAAGAGGGCAAGCGGTACGTCTTTGTCTTGCAAGATACCGAGGCTTGGAAGGTTGCCATTGGTCTTCAGCGTCTGCGTGGCGGTGCCCTCGTCCGTGCCTTGGGTGTCTCTGCGCTGCCGGCTCCGGACTGCAAGACCACTCTGAGCAACTTGGGCTATACTTGAAGACATTTTTTCCATTGTCAGCTTCACACAGCTTGCGCTGCATAACTCGCCTCCGTGAAGCAATTGTGTAGCACGGCTGTTGTTATCTGATGAACTGTGTCATCTTTCTTCTATATACACCCCTCGTCATGTCTCATTTTGCTGCTTTCTCGATCAGCGTCTTGCCTTCATTCCATTTCTCATAAGCGGCGGAGTTTGCTGCATACTCTTTCTCTTTCTCTCCAGTACATTCATTCGCTTGCCATGCCCACTCACCATATAGTTTCGAGATATCCCCCCGACATATTTGCTTGTTTTTGTACCTAAATTTTGTGTTTGCTGCGATTCAAGTATACTTGATCTACTTGTGGTTGTTCAAGGTAGAAATGGAGACGTACATAGCATGATCCTTTTGATGTGGATCTGTCAACTTGGTTCTGAATGTGGCTGAGCATAGTTTGTTGAGTAGTCAGTATGGACGTGTTGAGACCATGCAAACTTTAAGAAGGTCGATCAACGATAACCTTCATACAATCGTCTGTGGCTCTGAAAAATTATTGTTATCTCTGAGAAGTGCATAGAATCAATCACGTAATGTTCCTGTTTTGAGAGACCAACCCATACTATAGAAGATGCTAGTAACCTATACAGTCTCAAGGAATACCAATCATCTCAAGTGTTGAACTAAGAACACAACATGAAAAGAAAAGGATCTAACGCCATGAATGATATCTGATATATGATAATCCCCAGCCACATAGAAGCTCTTCCAATTCCATCCGTCTGTAATGCAAGATGCCTAACACGACCACCAAATTCAATGCATCATTTCAAGCAGCCACAACCACACATATACAAGATCAACACCCAGCGGACTCGATCCAGTAAGACATCCAAGAATGAGAGAAATATGAGAGCGAATTGCGAGAAAAGTGAAATAGACACGTCGAAATCCAACTTCAAGTGAGATAAAGAACAGAAAAGATGATATCGAAAACGAAAAAAACAACAATCCAAGGGTCTATCATGTGGGAATCAAGTTGCTTCCGTGAGAAGTATGGTATGGTAAGAGATGGGGGTAAGGAAAGCAAGACACCGCTGGATCACGACAGATGAAGATGAGACGGAGGTCAAGGAGGAACAGAAACGCCTTTTTGTAATCGATCATGTCGTCTACGTGCAGGTTTGAGGAGAGAGGAATAGCGTTCTAAGATTTCGTTGTTCGGAGGGCCATGCAAATAATAAGTGGGACGCCCGGGTTCCAGGGATGAAAAGACGAGAGATGCTCGAGTCTCCGGAATTCGAGACTCGACTTGCAGCGATAGCTGCTGTCATGTATGTGCTCACCATTTGGCGAGGTATATCGGGTCGTATAGAAGGGGAGGAATATTGGGAGAGGTCGGCTTGTGTCTAGAAGGGGAACCCGCCAGGGAATCCACCGTTACCCCCGCGAGCCTGGCCACCGAAGGGATGGCCACCAGCAGAGGCGAAGCCACCACCACCGCCACCGTTCATCATGTTGAACAGGATGTTGGGGTCGATGTTGATGTGTGTGCCGTTCATGCCGCCCATGCCGCCCATACCGCCCATGCCTCCCATTCCATGCATACCGCCGAAGCCGCCGCCGCCGCCGAACATGTCGGACGGGTCGATCAGGTCATCGCCATTATCGTAAGCAGCACGCTTCCTGGAGAGAGAGATTGTGGTTAGACTAGCTCCATATGATAACCAATGGTAGGGTAGAGGGGGTAAAACTTACTGAGGGTCGCTCAGCGTCTCGTAGGCCTCGCCGATCTCCTTGAACTTCTCGTCACCGTGCTCAGCATCCGGGTTCTTGTCCGGGTGGTATTGAATAGCCATCTTGCGGTAGGCCTTCTTGATCTCGCCATCAGAGGCATCCTTGCCCACCCCCAGAATCTTATAGTAGTCCTTGCGCTGAGACTTCTTCAGCTCGAACTCGGCTCGGCGGATATCCTCCTGGATGCCCTTCTCGCTGGGGTTGTTCTCCGCCACACTCTTATACTCGCGAACGGCATCTTCCCACCGCTCGGCACCACCATAGGCCTTGGCGCGCACCTTCATCGCCTTGACGTATCCGGGATCCAGGCGCAGCGCCTCGGTGCAGTCTTGGATGGCCGAGTCATATTCCTTGAGGTTGATATAAGCCTGAGCACGGTTCTGCAGGATCTTGGCGTTCATATCCTTGTTGGTGGGGTCGACCTCGAGGGCCTGGGTGTAGAGATCAATTGCGCGGCGATAATCCTTGGCCTTGAAGGCGGCATTACCCTCCTCCTTGGTACGGCTGAGCTTCTGGACGATGCGCAGCAGCTTGATGGCCTGCTTCATATCCGGGTCCAGCCCGAGGCACATCTTCAGCAGCTTCAACGCTTGTTCGGTCTCTCCAGAGGCGTAGTATGCGCGAGCACGGATCATCATCGCATCCGGGTCCTGGCTGTTCTCACGGAGCAAGGTGATGGCGAGATCCTGTGCCTTGCCCAGAGAGTTACTGTTGTTCATCTTAAGCTGTGCCTCGGCGGTCAGCAAAGTCCACTTGCGCGGCTCCTTGACGCCTTGGCCCAGGCCTTGACGGGCCTGGTCCAAACAGAAGATGGCCATCGATCCGCCACGGTCCTCCGCCAACGTCTCCTCGGCCTGTGAGATGAACTTCAGCATCTTCTCTGCGGGGGCACGGTCGGTCGCGCTCGCGTCGGGTACCCGGGACAAGACACTCAGAGCCTCCGCTGGTCGACCCAGGTTGGTCAGAATCTTGGCCATACGGTGCATGATCTTGAGGTTGGTGGGGTCGAGGTCGTGCGCCCGTTCAATATCCTCGAGTGCATTCAGATATTGCCTCGCGGACATGTGAGCGGCCGCCCGGTTGGACAGGTAGGCCGACGAGTTCGGATTGATCTCGATTGCTAGAGATAGAAAGAACCAAGTCTCAGCCAAATTCTGCACACTAATGCAGCGCCTGTATATCAAGGCGACCAAATGGAAAAGTTCGGATGAAAAAGCATACCTTTGTTGTATTCCTCGATGGCACGGCGGTAGTCGCCATCCTTGAAGAATTTGTTACCCGCCAACTTGAACGAATCGGCCTCATCGGTCGAGCCGGAGGACTTGTGCGGCGGGGGAGTCGGACTGCGCTCCTCGGTGCCGTTGGTACCATTCTGCTTCAACTGAGGCTCTTGCGGATCAATGTCCATTGAGCTCGGCTGGTCATCTCGAGACGCGGCCATGGCCGAGAGTCGACGACGTAGCTCGTCGGGTGGAAGATTAAGCGGGTGAAGGTCCTGGTCTCGTGAAGACCGGGCGAATTTGAAGGAGGGGGCGTTTTGAGTAGAGGTAGAAGAGGAAGAGCGACTATGCGAAAAGCGATTCTTAGTCGGCGAGGAGGACTTGGCGGGCGACTTGGAGGGTGATTTAGAGGAAGATTTGGAGGGCGACTTGGGTTTGGTGGGTGACTTGGAGAAAGAAGGTCGCGGGGAGAGGGGAGGAGGGTCGGGGAAATCGTCAGCGGTGGAAGGCGGTCTTGCGGTGGAGGAGGCAGAGGAATCTGGTTTTTCTGGTTTATCTTTCGCCCGGTCCTTGTCCTTATCCTTTTTGAAGATGTGGGCGAGTTGGACCATGAGTGGGTTTGGGGCCCTCGCGGTTTTTTTTTCTTCGGGGAGGGGATCGAAGGACGACGAAGGCGGTAGAAACGCGGAAATCGGGATGGGCTCAACCACGGTTCGGATCTGGAAAATCGAATCTCGAGAACTGTCGAGTGCAAAAGCAAGGAGGCGAGATTGGAGAAAAGAAAATATAAAGAAGTGGAAAGAGTAGCAATGTCGAACGGTCGTGGTGAAAAATAAAAATAAAAATGAGGTCAGGTCCGTCCAGCCATGATCAGGTCATCAATTTATCAGGTTATCGGTCATTAGTCGCAACTGTCAGGGGCGGAGGATGCCAATGTAGACCAGCAAGGTACTATTGACCAGACCAAACATACGCGGAGAAAAAAAAATATGGGTAGGAGTATATATCCTCAGGAAGAAATATATCCAGAGAGAAAGGAGGGCGGGGGAAATTCCCACCCCGCCTTGACCTTTGGACAGATTATATAGCTTATACTATCCAGTCCATCCTTTCCTCCCAGATCTTCCGTCCTTTTCTTTTGGCTACTGGCGGGACACGAGAGAAAAAAATTATTCCAGAGGCTGGAGAGCCGCTGGTCTGTGTTAGCGCGCAAGAGAACTGGAGACGTGGAGTCGACTAATTCCTGTCGGACATGACGGCACGAAAAGTACAATGGCTGGGGGAATTCGAGAAGCTTCTTCTCTGCTGGTCTACATGGTCCAATATGAATGCCGTCTTGTCGATACAGCGTGGGGTCATCGATTCGTTTGTCTACAGCAGCCCTCGACAAGTGATTGTGCTCGCAGCCACACAGCATCCGACAGGTCAGCGGCCTTGAGGTGGAGCAGTGGATCCTGCAGTTTGCTGGAAGAGCACACGCCAGCGCTGGGACCAACTCCCTGCAGGAAGAGGGGGGATTCATGTACGTTGACACAGAAGAATGTGCTGAGACACAGAGAGAGGGGGAGAGAGCCAGACGGAATATCAGTACAAATCCTATCAAGGACCGAGTATGGCTAGGTTTTATAGAATATACTGTTTACTCCCAAACATGGCTGTACGCAGCCCGTTGAATTGGACGTTTTGAAACCGTCGATAGCAATGGTCTCAAAATGCCCTGCATCCCAAGAGAATGGAACCAGGTGGATATATATTGACAAGATTGCAGGCAAGATCTCCATAGTCTCCGCAGAGCCAAAGTCAAACAGAGAATAAGAACATGAAAACCAGGCTGCCCGCTGCATACGATTTGCGATCTCGGAGGTATCAATGCATGAATTCGATGCCTCAGCTTCCAGGCACAGATTTCGTACTTATATCTGCTTTTCTTGGATAAAAAAGGAGTACACCCATTTGAGCAAGGTAGGTACGCCATAGATAATTTGACCTTGACGTAGCCGCTAGTTTTCTCTGTCCGGGCGAGTCACAATGATCCGCTTCAATCTTCATTCCGGCCTAAACTTCAACACTGAGGCAGTCTTGAAATTATTAGGTTGATCCTCGAGCGTCGTCCTCCATGATGACTCCATTTCTTCTTTATGAAGAAGGAGAGATAAGACCCATAAGTTGTGTCCCGTGCTCATCAATTCGAGAAATGATGCATACGCCGCGCAACGGCGCCCCATCGTGACTCGGCGCCCCGCTGCTGTAGAACCACGTGCGTATGACTGAAGCCATGGCTATCATACGAAGGCGGAGGTGAGAGTGCACTATGGTTGAATTCCTCATCGACATTGTCCCCCCTCGATAGGAATGGTTCGCTCATGTGCGTTTCGAGTCGGGGTGGCCGATCATGCCGGATTTGTGGACGCGGTGACGATGCAGAGCCCCCAGTAACCACCCATAGCTCCTCCTCTTCCGACCAAACGAGAGGCGCACTTCGAGGCCTTCTGGGCACCCGGCACTCAGTATATAGATATGGATTCACGGGGGGCGATCGGGAACGGACTTCTCGTACTGGGTCTGCGGCGCTGATGCCGTCACCGGGCCGCAACTCATTAGAAGGTCTCCTCCTGCCTCTTTGCGCGGGCATGCGCCGCAGATGGCTATCACTCCGGGAGGGACCAGGATCGGTGAGAGAGTTGACAATATGAATATTTGATATTGGGTGCCGTGATGGTCGAAGGTCGAGAGGGTCTGCCGAGGCAGGCCGTGGGGGTAATGGCTTCGTGTAGAGGTTGAAGTAACTGTGATAATGACTCGGAGTTTCCGGCGTTGGGGGTTCTTCCTCGATACGAGGAAATGTGGAATTATTAGGAATATTGGCCCTCGGATCAGCGAGGGGGGGACCCGCGAGTGATGAGAGGTCCATCAGAGGTATTGTAGAGTCGCGCTGGCGCTGGTGAGACGATGCTAGCTGCGATCTCTTAAATAGAGAGCAGAATAGCATCTCGCGGGACATTGGGAAGGGGGCCAAACCCGCCACTTTGTAGATTAATCCGGACTTCTATCTTTGAACACGAATGGCGTGCGCTTGGATAGACGTAAATAGTGGATCGTCGTGGAGAGCTCGTATCCGGGACCGATGATCAAGGTCTTGGAACGAGGTCCGGCATTTATGGAAGAAAGCCGCTTTGAAATCGTCAATCAAAGGGTTCCTTGGCCAAGAATTGATCTCGTATGTTTTTTACCTCTCAAACGAGAGCGAACCGTATAAAGTAGAGCTGTCGACCAAGTCAATTAGTTTGCTCCTCGGGTGCCAGATATAGAAATTTGGATGGAGTAACGATAGTTGGTAAGGCGTTCGAAAGGCCCACCAATCTATTGTGGGCTCGAGTCGCCTTATAAGCCCCTCTCGTTTGATGGTGAAAATCCTGTTCCAAGCTGATGGGAAGGCTTCGAATCCTTTGTTGGGGCCAGAATAGATGTTGGCCTTCACTGCCACATAAGGCCTGACTAGAGATTGAACGTTCTCTTTGCCGGACACCGGCAATGCAACATGAGATCTAAGTCTTGTCCTGTCCGGCGAGTCAGTACCCTGATCCATACCCTAAAATCAGTGTCATAATCCTAGTGATTTCAGAACTGCAGGGTGTCAATCATTGGCCCCGGATGTCTCTTTCGATGAAGCGGGGCGGCCCCTTCCTACGAGGCAGACCGCAGGAAGGATATCACAGCCCTGCCGCCAAGTTTCATTGCTCTCTCGTTAGGCCAAGACCCTCGAGCAGGGTGCATTTGATGGCTCCGAGCCACGGTCTTTGTGGTAGGTAGGCATCATATCGACTTTGTGCTGTTTCGTCCGGAGATTGTACGAGGCTTGGCCCGTATGGTTGTTGGAAGCGCGGTCCGCGTCTGAAATCACGGCCTGTGGATCGCCTATTTTTGGGAGGCCAATGGGGCGAGGCGTCCTCTCAGTAAGCTTTTGAGGGCTTGGACCTTGGACCTGGGGAGGAACGGAACGAAATCGGGGCAGTTGTCCAAATGGCCATGGATAATAAAATTGAGAACGCCGCTCTGATGATTCGTGGTTTCAAGTTCTAACGTGCTCCGAGGAATGTATGTATACATGTGCCTGAGCGGGCACCTGAGCGGACAACATACCTACATATGTGACCCGGATCTCAATGGACCCAACGACAGATAGGTTGTCCATGTTTTGGGTTCATCATTGATTTATTCTGACAGATCGCAATTACAGGAGCCATGCTTTAACTTTGCCTGCCATCATACTATCAACGTACTCACTTCATATTGTTCGGAATCCAGCATTTTTAGCACCAAGAGCCTCGGATAAGGTTGCCTCCAATAGTCGTGGATGGGAAAATGCAATGATGCTCAATGCGTCCGGCTAGACAGACAATTCAGGGTGCTCATCTCACCTATATGGAATCTATGTAACATGAGGACTATACACAAGGGTGACACGCAGGCCTTTATCCGGGGGTTGTGAGCCCTGAGCTTGATCAAAAACAGGGTCATCAAGAGAAATAAAAGTAAGACTTACATACGAGTATCTTCTGGTTCTGGTCCATTCGTCAAAGGCAAATATAGTCGGGCAAAAGGAAAGCTCAATTCATATCGATAAAGGACACTCTACTCCTACGGATAAGATTTTTCTTAGACTCCAAAGTGTGGTAGGAATTAGCCAATGCATTCACGACATCTAAGATTAGAATAGGAGAATAGATAGTCAAGTGATGTTAATACATTCACAAAAAAGAGGGGGCTTACGGGTTCTGGAAGCAAAGGAATGGTGAAAGCTGTCATGGTTTACATTAAGGTCGTGCTCAAGCCGCCAAGCGCTTCACACAACACCGAAGCTATCCAGGGAAGCCCAAGAAGAAATATGTATATCAAGAAGAGCAAGAAGGGAATAAAAAAAAGGGATAAGCATATCCAATCAGAAGCAAGTAACAATATTGAGTCAGGTATAAAAATCACCAAAAACCCAGGGTTTATATCACAAGAACATCTTTCTCCATTTCTCCCATGCCGATTCCTATGCGAAGACAACTACATGCTCACCATTCCACTAGGGAATGACATTACATGAAGCAATCCATGACCGAAGAGGTCATTTATGCCAGGAAGAAGGCAGCGGCGGCAGCGGCACCGGCGAAGCCGAGGGAGCCAGACAGAGCACCAGCACCGTTGAAGGCGGGGGTGGAGGAGGGCTTGGCGGTGGTGGAGCTATCAATAGATGTGATGTTAGCGATGTTGATATCCAATATCAGTCACAAATTGAATCTTACCTGGCAGCAGCAACGCCGCTGGAGGAGGCGTGGGGGGCACCGCTGGAGCCGCCAACGGGGGAGGAGGCGGTGGGGACAGCGATGGTCGACCAGGAGGTCACAGCAGCGCAGGTGGTGTGGACAACGGGGACGACAGTCACGGAGGGACCAGCGGGGACAGGGGCAACCGAGGTGGGAACGGGAGCCGGGGCGCTGGACCAGGAGGAGCTGCCAACGGGGGAGACACCGCCAGCGGGAACGGAGGGGGTGACAACGGCGGTGGTGACAGCGCTGCCGGTAGCACCGACGCCAGTCGCGGTGGAACGAGCAGGGCAGTCAGTGACGGTAGGAGCGCAAGAGGTGATGGTAACCTCCTCGGTCTGGTAGACGGTGGACTCAGCGCCGTTGGGGAGGGCGGCAACCAGGCCGGCGAAAAGGGCAACGGTAGCAACAGCGAAACGCATTTTGAATGTTGTTTAAATGGAAGAACCGTAAAGGTGATTTAAAAAGGCGTTGTTAAAAAGCGAAGCTTTTTTAAGCAAAGAGTGTAGTAGTTGGTAAAGAGTGGATGACCGAAGTCGAGAGAGTGACTGATGCGATGGCAACGAAGTATGGACTTGGAGAAAGAAAGAAGAAGAGAAGCAGGGCAGCACGGGGGAGCCAGGGGCCCTTTGTATGAACGAGGAGATTAGGCTGGTTGATCGGCGGGGCCATCAACTTCCGCCCCTAAAAAAAAGGGGAAGGCCCAGTGTCCGAACTAGAACTGGATGCTGATAGACATGCGGAGTCGTGATCCCGGGTGGGCTCGCAGCCCTCCCGTCGCTGGAAGAGGTCATGGTGAAGAGAGGAGGGGTACCGAGTACATGGGAGATTGCGGTGTACAGAGTGTGGCGCTCGAGTCGCCGGTACCTGTAGCAACGCAAAGCACAGGTACCTGCATCGACCTGACTTTCCTCTCCATTGCGTACCTGAATTTCCACTGGGTTGCACGCACAGCCCGGATGGCTGGACCCCAGAACTACAGGACCAGGGGTGGGCCTGATTGGTGAAGCGAGGCGCGTGGGATAAGCCGTTTCGTTGTGACGAGCAGAAAATGGTAATTTTGGGAGCCACTAGCAACGTTAGCGTTGAGGTGATGCCGATCGGGTGGTGAGTTCGATGAAAATTGGAAGAATAACTGATGCCATTCGGTGGAGGTGGTGGAGGGGGAAAGTGGAGGATGGTGGAGTCAAGGTCGCGAAACCGAGTGAGACAGTTGACTTACAGTTGTATACCGCCTTACTTCCGCAGTTCAGACTTGGAAGGTCTACGTCACGAGACTCATACCGTACTCCGTCAATACCAAGAGGAACTTGGCAGTATATTCGGGACCGCCACACCTCTCATTTCAGTGTCCTTCTCCATCTCATCTTTGCCCAGACTCAACGAGTACTCCGTACTCCGTACAATCCACGCACAAGCAAAAGAGACACTTGTCCGAGCCTGCAAATTGCATCCTCGAGTCGCGAAATTAACATCCTCATTTAGCGGGTTTCAGCCCGTCCCCTCATCGTCCGTCCACCAATCCACCGCCGATCCGCTGCCCGTTCCTGGTGCCGCCCCCCCGGCGCCGTAGCCACTCATGATGTCCGTCGAGAGGTGGCAAAGCACTCCACTTTACCCCTGAACCGTCCATGGATTGATTTACACTTGAGCACGGGTCCCATCACCGTAAACAACGCAGTGCAAGGGTTAGAACAACTCTGTTACACCTTCTATTTTCCAAACGCGAGGGTCCATATCGGGGGTTCGGGGCCGCTCTCGATGACGATGGTTGCAAATCCTTACTCCGGACGTTCATCATCACGTTCATGTTCATTTTCATGTCCATCTAGCCCAAAGTTCACTAATACGACTCCCGACGGCCCCGGACCCAAGGGTGAGGTCCCAGATCTTCAATCCCACGCGCTCGAGGCTCCTTATCCTTATTGCAGTAGGGAGTTCCGTGTTTCCCTCTATTTCCCGGGTCATATAGTACCGTGAGGAGGAGCGAATCGCGATTGCTTGATGACCTTCCTTTCCTAGGCCCAAGTTACGGAGGAATTTAGAGGCATTTCTTAGTCTCGTTCTATTCTGGTCTCTTGCCGAGAAAACGATCCTTTTCCAAAAGGAATTGTTCGTTGGAGTGGAGCCCTTCAACCCCCTGATTCATTGTCTTTTATTACTAGAGGTCGCTGTGCTGGATGCTCCATGCACCCGAGTCCTGTAGAATCTCGTCCTAATATGGAGTAGTCAAATTTACGGTACTTTTCCTAGCCTGAATCCAAGTCATCAACGCATCTCGATTGACTCCGCCGGATATATTGGAAGGCTCGCGTGGAAAGCCCGCCGTTCGCCAGTCTCGAATCATGAAACACTCTTTTTTATTCGACTCTGTCTTCGAGAAATGCCTAAGTATGTTTTAACTGTAACACTTACCAAGGGCCTTCATCTTAACAACTCGTCGCTCGGACAAAAAATCCAGATCCAGCTCAATGAATTATGAAGACCCATAGCTCCGATCCAAGTGTAAGCGATCCGGGTCAAATAATTTCTACAGCAAGTGCAACAGTACCAACCCGTTCCAGTACGGAGCTAATGATAACAAGGACTCTTCAAATCAAATTGAACCCTCCAACTGCCGTTGCCAATGCGACTGTCCCACAGCGGGAGGCGCTAGCCTTCGGTCTCACTGTAACATCCCTAACGGTTAGCTCGCGTCTCTTGAAAGTCTTATCCAAGTGCTTCACAGTGCTTACAGTACTCGGACGTTTTCCCAAGCCACCAGCGGTGGAGACTAAGGCGCCCGGCTTGGGCAAGCTTAGACTCGTGGTTGGATCCCCAGAGCGGAGCTGCCATCGTGCTAATTCATGCAAGATACAGTATCTTTCCATCGAGCGGATCAGGGGGAAGAGGGCAGGACGATGAACGGGATCTGATCTTGGATGCCTGGTCCCTGACATCGCGCATGATGCTGATATTGAAGGATTCAGACAGTGACCCGGGCGCCGTTCATGTGCAGATGCACGCTGTACAGCTTGTTTTCATGTCAAATTGCACCCTAGTTTGCTGTATAGTACGGATAAACACCGAGGACCAGTTTGGATGGACCAGTTATTTAATGGGGTTGGTTTCGACGCAGGAACTGGTCGGAGGGTATCTGTGCGCTGATGTTGATCTAATGTCCGGGGGGAAAGTCTCTTTCGACTATGTACGAATACTACTTGGTGAGTGGCTGTGTGAACCGCGAGACACTTTGCTGGAACTGGTACCTGGTGACCATTATTCCTTTTGCCTCATCCAATGACCGTGCCTCGGCGGGTTATGTACGTACTGGCAGGCTCAGGGCTCCATGATAGGGGGTGGGAGTAGAGTTCCCACGTCCGCACTCTAGGCTTCGTTGCAGCGAATGGAATAAGAATATTATTGTACTGCAGCTGGCCTGTTCGTTTTTTACAAACTCTCTTTCGAAGAAAAAAACAAGCATACTCAGGATTCAACTGCCAGCGATAAGTCCAGATGGGTCTCGTGGTGGTTGAGGACCCCACATACTCAAACTATTAGCTCTAGTCGCATCTTGTTACGTCGCCTTGTCTATAGAAATGGCGGGTCTCAATGCATTCAACACACTTAGATCGCACTCGTGCTCCTTAATTCCGCTGCAAACCCCGGCTTTTCTCTTTTTTGAATCGTTGTTTTAGTCTTTTTTATTCTATGTTTAGATTCTCCTATCTTTTGGATGGTCACTATCGATCAGGGGTATCGTTCGTGACCCGTGAGATAACCAAGAATAGCATGTGTGGATCTAGGCTCAAGTTAATCCCTGGGTTCATCCTTGATTGTCACGCGAAAAGCGCAATGAGTTCTGAGGGTCTGAATGAAAAAGGGGCTTCGTGAACAAGTTCTCAAAAGTCGAAATCCGTACATGTGGAGCACAGAGAGGCATTCTAAATAGTGCTTTGTTGTTGCAACGAGACTAAAGTACCTAGTGAGGTTTTCCTCAATTCGTAAACATTGTTAGGAAGCGACCAAGTTCCCAGTGGGGTGTCTACACCGCTATATGGGGGTAGGATCACCTTGTTGTCGAGTATTGTCAGCATGGAGGCAGGCCAGATCTCCTTGCATGTCTCTTCATGCGAAGCTCCTTTCAAGTTATAGTGCTTTGAAATAATTTTCTGATCGAGCGCGTCTCTGCATCCAACCCATGCTTATAGTCAACGCACCATGATTCAAGACCAGGAACAACGCATTAGGTAGTGATTGTAGAATCACTCATGTAACGAAAGCTGACGGAAGGCGCATCTGCATGGCAACGGTCGAGACCATATCACACTCCACAGTTCGAAGCAATACTCCTGACTGAGGATTCCTGTGATAAGATTGTTCTAGGCCTGGCGGCCTTTCAGAACACATCACTCACTGAACGTGCGATGCAGACATAGAGTTGATTACTGATGCAGCTTGGATTGAATGTCCAAGCGGCCTGTACAATATCAAAGACTGGGGTTGGGTACCCGCTAAAAGTGATTGACACAGTTCTCCGTACTCCGTAGCTTGCTAAACCAGAGGCTGCAAAGGAAATGGCAGGCTCGCAATTGTCATTTCTCGCCTTGCCGAGTGGTCACGATCCGAATCAATGCCATGATGGGATCAAAGCACAGACACACAAAGTGCTCATTAAATGACATCGACAATGATGTTGCTGAGTGGATATTTCCAGATTTTGCAAGGATTCGGCCAGGAACAATTGTTGATTCGATCCTGCTAAAGTTAGCAGCGACGTTTCTCTGCAGTTAAATTGTGGCTGTGGCTGTACAACTCGGGAAGCCGATTGTGGATCACATTGTGATATGAAGGGGCTTGAGTCTTGATAGCTTGACATAAATGATGCATGTGCTTGGCCGACTATGCGAAGCTGTGTCAGAAGAATCTCCGGCCTTGATCTGAAACCTGAGCGGGGCATTTCATTGACTGCCCCTCATTAGCGAGTTGTGGTCATCTCGGAAGATTTGAGCTTTGGGGCCTTGATATGATTCACGGCAACCAAACAACAGACTGGAGAGCGTGGGGCATATTAATCTGATTTAACTTGGCACCCCCATGCCGAGTGAAGATATCGGACGTCACATTGACAATCCTGAAGGGGGCATAAGACCCTGACTGTGCCAACGCCTCCGTCAAGGGATGATGATGAACGTACAGGTCCCTGGACTCAAGGGTCGTGGGCAGTCACTAAGCCTCGGATGGATAATCCTGCTGTCTACTACTTACACGCACTGGGAACATCTCGACCACTACGAGCTTGAAACAAGACTAGTGCTGTATATCGAAGTCCTGTTAGCACCAGAGATACTCGGATCGTTGATGTAATGCAGGGATGGTGGTAGGGCAGAATGGTACCAATGACACCAAGTGGAGATTGGAAAATGGCTCGGCAACCGTGAAT